ACGACTAAAGTCGGACAAATGAGTTCCGCAGGGAACACAGCGAACAAGTAGAATCACAAAGCTTTCATAATACCCTAATGACCATAAAAAATGAAATTCATAACGATCAACTTCTCAGAAAATTCGCTCGTGAACTTTTTTCCTTTAGAAGTAGAATTAGAAAGAATATTTTTATTTTTTGAATTATTTCTCATGTGACTTAATTAGATAATTGCTGGCGGAAAATATCTACGGTTGAGAATAACTGTGATGGAAGTAAAATATTTTGCTTAGTAACTTATTTGTAATTTTAAATTTAATCATGTGAAATTTTCGATTCCTTATTTACATTGAATTAATGATGGTTGGTGGTGTCTGCTTTTGTTAGAATAGTATGGAGATTGCATGATTCTTCTTCCACGGTGTCTGTAGCTTACATTCCCTGACTTTCGTCAGAATACGATTAAATCCTGGATACATGTATGATGAGTGCACTGCAACAAGTAATCTCCTAAGGTTTTTGTAGTGCTTCGAGATCGTATGCTTACGTGCAGGCTTGTTCGTCTTCCCCTGTCTCGCCGCTGTTAAATCCTGTTATTTTTTTCCTTTGTTGCAAAGTTTTACTTCTTCTGACGAACAGAATGAACCCTTGCCACGCACGTCGAGAATTTTTTGTCCCAAATTGCAACATTTTCTCAGTTTCAAGTATATTTAAATAAAACAAAACAAATAATAAGCTTATTACTTCCCAACAATTTCTATCCAGTGATATCGTACCGACGAGTTCAAAAAGAAAGCGGCGAATTATTGTGTACGGTTCGGTCACTCGTTATGGTCCGCGATCCAGTTGCCAGCGCAAGGGGTTAAATTTGATAGTCGTAAGTCGGTTCTCTATTGGGCAAAAGCCTTTAAAATGTCAGTTAATGTAACTTTATTAGTTGTATAGAGTGATTCACTATTTTGGATGAAAGTTTCAAGTTTAATTGTACGAACTACAAATGCACATTGCGATTAAGGGAAACCGTGACTCGGAGGAAAAATTACCTTCGTGAGTGAAACTTTTTCTTGCGTCACATTCGTCCTTTAAAATCACTTACCGATTGTTAATTTGCGACATCAATTGTGGCGACCGGTATTAAGCTGGTTTCTATTTAATAGATCACTCTGTATATAACCACCGCGATAAATGTACACCGTTTAAAACAATTAGTTGGTGTTCGAAGAGAGCGAATTAATTAACAGCAATGCGAACGTTTTCCCGTGTTCAATTTACCGATGTATTTGCTAATTTTTTAAAATTAAAGAACCCTGAATATCAACTGAAATCGATCGAATGATATCTTAATTATTTTGGACATCAGTTTGCAATACAAGCAAATTGAAAAGTGCTAAAGAAAAGAAGGGCTTAATGATATCTAACGTAGCAATCTTTAATTATCTTAAAATACGATTGTAATGTAATTTACTCCAACTTTAAACAAGGGTTTAACCTTCGGATTATTTTCCAATTTATCTGGCGATTTACAAATAATCTAACTCATTATTCATTGCTGTTATTCTCTTATCTTCGTTTTTACAATTCTTACAATCACGTTATATATTTTTTCTCTTTATCTTAATGCACATGTATGTTTATATTGTATGTTTATATTTCACATTTGTTCACAAAGTGGAAGATAACGTGAATATCTCCATGGTACTTGCACAACGAACCTTCGATCCATTTTTTTTTTTTTTTTTTCGTTTTCTCGTGCCTTGTTCTTATGTATTTTTAAATATATTATTAAGCTCATAGTGACTCTTCGTTCCTTATAAACAACCAGCTTTCTCAGTTCAATCGCATTTGAAAATACGCACGATCGTCTTACGTCTGCAACGTAATGCGGACACAGATGCAATCTGTATAATTCGCTACATACACAGTACATAGAAAATTCGTGAAATTTTCAATAGTATTCTCGTCGAGGTAAAAATCGTTTATCCGAAATTTTACGGAGCGTTATTCACTCTTGCAATAAACTGAACCCCCCCCCGAAGCTTTTTATTAGGTGAGAGTGGGAGGTATTGATAAGGAGAATATTTTTATTAATCTCCCACTTTTAACCATTTGACATTTAAAGCCGTGACATTCAATTTTCAAGAAGCATTATAATTCACGTCGAGTGATAACGCGAGCTGTAAAACTTCAGTCGGAAGCATTGAAGCTACTTGTGTGTATCCACTTGTGCCTTGTGTGGTTTTATGTAATCGAAGAAAGAAGACTGGTAATTAACCAATGCTTATATATAATTAACAATCGTGTAACTATCACGTAATTCGAGCAATTACAGTTGCGTTGTGTTTTCGACGCTGGGCGGCGGTGAGCGTCGTTACGGCGTCGGTTTGTCTGGCCTGGCTCGTTCCTTATCTCGACAACCCTCGATGTCGTGGGGTGAAGACCCTACCGCGTCTAGCCAGAGTCTCCCGTGCATTTCGTATTTATTATTTATACGCCGGCAAGTGTCTACATCCGGTAGGATACGCGCGGGAAATCCACTTCGTTAAAAGTATTCGCGTCGTGCTCTCTCTCCGAGCACGCGGGCCGTCGAGTTACACGATTAGGGGCACCGCGACGCGCGCTTTTCAAAATGAGCAAACAAATTCGGTATCGCGGCACGCTGAATTTTATCATTCCATGTAAATAGCCTGATCAAGGAATCTCAGGTGGAATAAACAGTAATAAAATGGTTGAATGTTTGAGAGAAAATCCCAGTCGGGTTAAAATTTGATATGCGAAGGAGGTTGAGATAGAAAAATTCTATGATACTGCATCCGTGGAACCATTTATGTATGATCTGTATTTTTTTATTTAAAAATTTATTTAAAAAAATTGTTGCACATAGGAAAAAACCATTTCCATTTTTGGTATGGAAAAGTATAAATCGACTTTATTGTTTTCAGGTTAAAAAGGCTCTTGATAATACTATTATCATCAATAATGATTTGTGAAATTTGAACGTAGAAAATGATATAATTTTCGTAGATAAAAATAGTTGCAATTCAGATATAAATATCAATGTGTAGTCGAGTTCTCTTCGATCAGGCCGCGGTACGTTTAATTATTCATTCGATCATGCGACATGGAACCATAAACAACCAAGGCTCACCCGATAAAAATGCAAATTCCGACAAATTCTGCCCTTTAATCCTTACCACGGTGAGATCAACTTCTTCGTGATCCAGTTAACGGAGACGCGGAGGAATTTATGAATTTCAAATGCACCCTTTGTCGATCACTTTCACGAAGAAATAGTATTGTATAGCATGGGAAAATATCAAAGTATTTGGAAAAGCGATGTAATTTTGTTAGAAAGTTTGCAATAAGAAAATTGAAAACAGTGATATTGCAATATTATACTATATAATATTAGTTGACAGTAGTAATATTATATACATATATAAATATAGAGTAAGAAAATTAAAAATAATAACAGAATGATACTCGTGTATTGTTTATTGTGCGTAATGCTCAATTGACGAAGAATGAAATTGAGATTGAATGACAATTGAAGCTGTGTAAATCTAGATTACAAAACAATGATTCACGACCAAGTCTTGAATAAGAAGTTAGAAAAGTGTTGTCTTCGTGTATTGATTAAATCTCGAGTTAGAGCTCGAGGCTTAAGTAGAATAATAAGATGCGATATTTAGATGAGAGTTGATGCCGTTGCTAGTAAAACAAGCACGATTCGTGACAGAAGCTCGACGTGAGCCGTATTCAATCGTTCAGTCTTTAACAATCTGATTTTCAAATCTGATTGTTTCAATCGTAAAGTATAAATGAGTTGCATTTTTATTTTCTTTGCAATTGTATTTTTCTAATTTCCTATTTTTCCTTCGCTGAAGTTAAGTTGTCAATTTTCTACGACTGATATGACGAATTCAGTTTTTCGAAAAATGAGACATAAAGGAAAATAGGTGATTGTAATTACATCGTCTTTTATTGTTTGCTTTTCTGCTTTGATCACAGTTGTAATTATCTTACAATAGAACAATCTTTTGAAATACCTTTACCAATGTTATGCTTGTCTCTAAAAATAAAAGAAAGATGTGTTATAAATAGATTCAGAAATTGTAGCTTTATGGAGAAGTGTAAAGAATATCATATTAGACTCTTGATATGGCAGTGTGTAAGAATAGGTCGAGGAAGAAGCGAAGAATGATTGAGGAAAGAAAATGAGATATCAAGGAAATGAGGTTATTAAAAAAAGAGTTCTTGTTAGTAGAAATTGGAAAGAATAAGAAATTTAATTCCTTATAGTCTAGATTATTAAATTGAAAGAAGTACATTGATTATTTTTCTTAGAAAAAAAATTAAATACAATACAGATTTCATCTATAGCAAAAAGAAAGCAAGATAAATTTAATTTCTAACAATTACTAGTAAATATTAGTCGGAGTGTTTTGCACTCCAAAAATAAGATTCGTATCTCTAATGTCTTAACAGTACATTTATACTGTCAAGTTTAAACAAAATTCTTTTATTACTTTCCATAAAGAAAATAAAATAAAAAATAAAATTAATAAAAAAAAATAAAATAAAAAATAAAATTAATAAAAAAAAATAAAATAAAAAATAAAATTAATAAAAAAAAAAATAATGAAACCAAATTTCACACACTCGTCGATCGAAAAGTCATTATCAGTATAAATATTAATTTTATCAATTTGTAAAACTGCTGTCGCTATTTTTCGCTTTTTACCTCTACGTTGAAAGTATTCGTAAAAGACGCGCTCTAAAAGAATTCTTGACGAAATGCGGCTTCCTGAAGATATAGTATACCGAATCAAGACAATTAGGGCCTCGCGTTTCCGCACAATTCAACGAAATGAATCAAGTTTCAGGGACGAAGGAAATGTCACGTGCCTCGTGCACTTACGTTTTTGTTGAACACGTACACGATGTCCCAGAATTCTTTTTTCTTTTCTTCTTTTTCCTAATCGTCAGTATTTTAAATAATAGAAGAAAACACATTGATGCTTCTCAGTCAAAGTTTTGAGTTAAAACGATAAATACAATGCAGATTTCCTAAGATCTGAACGTAAAGCAGACTCTTCTTCAATAAAACCCGACATCACGTAGAATCTTCATTTTTCTCTCTCGTAACAATCGTTATTTATGAACATTTACAGAAATAACCGTGTGACGTAACTTTGATAAAATGCTATTTAATCATCTATGATATTAAACGTCCTTGCAAGACATGGACGAGAAATTTTTGGCGAGGGACGTTTTGCAATTAAACTTGTCCTGCTAGAAATTGAAATTCCGCTCTTTTTATTACCTTATTTCGTCGTGTCGTGTCTCTCCCTCGCCTGCAACACTTACAAGATGTTGATGTGTCGAAAGTCGACTTCAATCTTCCGCGAGATTACCTTCCCTCCCCCGACCATTAAATCCTTCGACGCGAAACGAAGCTTCTTTGCTCGTCGATATCAGCCATAACGATGTGACTAAGAAGAGTATCTTCGTTGTTGCTTGCCGGCAGATGAGAGACAAACCCCTTGGTCCCGTTCGAACGTAGTCCACATGGATGGAGCAAGCCGGAAGGACTAGACGTCCAACCCGAAATACATCGTCTTCCTGGTCCTCGGTTGGCATCTTCTCCGAATTGCGTTCGTCGCTTGAAGATTGGATTGATTTTACCGTGGCCAAATGTGAGTGTTACTGCTGCTTATTTTTCGAAGGAAGGAAACTCTCGTAGGTAATTTGAAATTCATCGAAAAGCAGAAGAATGTAACGTTATATAAATTGTGTATGTGAATTGCGAGCATAACATAATAAAGACAAATTGTAAATGAATTGGTTCTTCAGTGAGTTACGATTCAAACCAATTCAGTGACTGGAGAAATTGTAAAACAACGTGCTGCGTTTGATGAATTGCAGCGAGGAGGAAGTCGCGGGTGATCGGTGACGACGGGGACGAGGATGGCCAGGAGCAGCGGCATTACAAACACACACCGGCGATGCACCGATCGCACCGTCGTCGTTCATCGCGATGCCGTTGTCGCAGCTTCTAGTACGTCCGCTCACGAGTCACGATCGATCGGAATCGGGTACGGTAGGAACGGCCACGGCATTGCTACCTCTGGCTACATCGGCTACGCTGCTAATTTCGATCAAGGAGAGGGTACGGCCGATTAGAGTCGCCCCTTTCGATACAACTGCCCAGCAGCACGTGATTCATGTAAGTTTCACGCTTCCACCGAAAGCAATCACGTCTCCGTCATTTTATTTCCTTTTTCATTTGTTCTATCAGTTGGTGAGATTGAACCCCTTTTGTTTCCATTTCTCCCTTACTGACGTATCGAACGATTCTGTTTCTTTTTTTTTTTTTATTATTATTATTATTGAGCTGTTGATGAATAAAATTAATGGTTTCTTCTTTTCTTCTTCTTCTTCTTCTTCTTCTGATAGTTTACAGGATTTGAAATTTGGATTTTACGTGATTTATAAGTGAAATGCTGTTGCAAATGAAATGGACGAATCTTCTTACTAAACTTAGCAGCGTTTACAGCTTGCTTGAAAATAATATCATATTAGCGACTGCCTGATTGTTCCCTGAAAGCAGATAACCCGTCGTTATTCGGATTTCTATAATTTATGACCAGAGTCTCAATAGACTTGATGAGTTCCAACGAATGTTTAGAGGAGGTCTTACTCCTGATAGGAAAAGAATAGTGTTTGATCGCTTAGCGCTTAAAATATATATATATATTCTTGGAAAAAGAAAATGGGAAAATCTAATAAATCAATCTTAATTCATTTTAACTGTTGAATTTTCGATTCAATTTTTACCGTTCGATAGTGTACATTTAAACTTGATGAGAATAGTTTAAATTTTCTTCCAAATAATTTAATTTCATTCTATGTAAATCCAAACACGTTTGTTTTGCTATTCCGTGAAGTATTGCAAAACTCAATGATTTCCAATGACGTCTACAAAGAGTCACGGGGCAAATATAATGAAAATAATAGCATCCAATTTCAATGGTCCAATTGGATCATCCAAAAATTTACTAGATATCGCTAATAAAATGGCGCAACTTGGATGCGGTCAGTATTGGCACGAGTGAGATAAGAATCACCCATGATGTTTCGCTGATCCCGATTTATTCCGCTTTGGATCTCGAATCTCGGAGTTATAATACGTCTGAGCTTTTGCAGGTTTAAAAAGTTGCTGCTTACCTCTCGACGAGGAAGTTTTCAGAGTACAATTAGAAAGGGTTCTTTGATACGGCCGGAAGTTTGATTTGCACGTAGAATGAAGTCGTTGTTACGCAACGGCCGTTTGCTGACGCAATGATGATAGAAAAAGAATGCACGATGAATTTCTTATCAGCTGTTTGCATCGTTGGTTTATCGTTGCGCATTAATTACAATTGTATCACGTGTGATCTTGCGAATTGCCTCCTTTTTCCTCGTCGGTTTTTAATTTCACCTGATCGTGTTAGTCGTATAGATGATTTTTCTAGTCAAATGGCAAAACACGATACGTACTAATAATAAAGTTTTGCCAATTTTGCAACACAGCTATTTTAGTGTTCGTTCAGCTTATAGATACCAATATGTTTTCAATGAGGGAGATATTATTTTACAAACACGCGAAGATATTTTTTTTTTTTTAGTTACAAACCAGAGAACAGTTATGCTTGCTCGCGAAAATGATCGTCTTTTCTAATTTATCTTTCTAATATATTTAGCGCAGCTGTTTTAAAGTTTATTCAGCTATCACAAAATCAACTGATATGTTAGTTCTTTTTTCTTTCTTTAAAATCAGTTGTCGATCAGTTCTTCTTATTATTAATGATTATTTATTCGAGTTTAGTTGTTGATATAGTTTTTTAAACGAATCCAACAGATTATTTATATATATACACATTATATAACGTGTGTATATAGTTATCCTATTCAATTTTAAGATGGATAATAATTTAATTAATGAAGCCAATAATAATTTCCTTCGTATAAATGTAATTATTTGAGTTTAAGCATTTTTTTTAATTATTTCAGCAATCTTTTTATTTGAAAAATTAGAATTTTCACAAGAAAATTTCCCGAAGTAACGAAATAATCTTTTTTTTACGTTACAAAATCATTCATAAATCAAGCGACAATAGATTCTGAAACGTATTATCGGCCACCCACGTAGTTGCGGCTTTGCGTGGGGTAAATTACATATATACCATTTCGTTGGCCACTTCGTTGAGCAAGAAATGCAGGCAGCAACATCTTAAAAATGAGAATTCGAAAAGACAATTAACAACTATATTTCATTTACAAATTTGTCCCACCTACATAAGAATTCTAAGACTTATTTAGTTGTTTTATGCAGTCTAATCATTAACTTTTTACTTCATGATATTTCCATATATATATATATGGACGTGCCAACATTAATTATTTATTGTTGTGTGAAGGGAATATTGAAATATTACATTTAATAATTGCATTGTAAACTCGGTGTCGAAATTGAACTTCATGATAAAAAAAAGACTTGATATGAATATGTAAAAGTCATAGATCTTACAATGAGGAACATAAGCTATGTATATCACTATAGAGGAGGTTTATCAGCTGATTCATTGACATACACTACTACTACGATTTTTTCAATCAATTTGATGCCTAGAATCAAACATCTCGAAAATATTGCTCAATCTTTTTTAACAGCTTATATAATGTAGACAAAAGAAGTGCAATACAAAGATGATGTATTAGATGTTTAAGCTCTTGGTTCTGCACTGATGCAAGATGTATCAGCTACGCGCGAATGTTTCATTATTCATTACCAAATGTATCGATGAGACGCTGACAATAATCACCTGATAGATCACGCGTTTAGACTCAGACTTCCATTAGAGAACAGCAGTCCATTCCCAAGACACGTATTCCATCCGCATCCGCCATTTCCTGTTCCATGTAAGTACCTCTTCTTACTTCCGGCTCCTATTTCGGCTAAGTAAATGATATTTTTCTTTTTTTCTCTTTTTTTTCCCATAGGTCAGAATACAGGAACTATGACGAAGACCTTGACATATTCGATGGCATATTGCTCGCTCTTACACGCTCGAACGCTTAAATAGTGCAAACGACGAATTATCGACCACATCGCGACTGTATCTGTGTAACTTAACGTGTATATACGGCACAGGCAGACGTTAGAGGCCCGTGACTTCCCAACAAAGAGCTCCAACTGACAAGAGTCGAAGCGAAAACTTTCGTCACGGCCGGGGGCCAATCATCGGCCAAACCGCCGCTGCTGGATGTTAATCAATAAGAATCTTTTTCCGCGGTTGGTTCGTCCGATACCGTGGAACATGGATCCCCTCGACTCGAGAATTTAGAAGCAACTATATAACAGCGTAAAATAATCTTTTTTTTTTTCCCCCTTTAATCACAATTTCCTTTTCTGATAATCAAACAGTCAACGTATAGTTCAACACGTAGATTGACACATTATACGCTATATATATGTATCAGGCTACAACTTTTTCATTCTTTGTTGTGATACTTTGTTTTTATGCCTTGAAAAAATATGATGAATTAATTGTTCATGATAAACGCACAATTGATAGACAAAGTTTATTTAATAAGTAAATTAAAAATTAATCGACATATGTTATATATATATATATATATATTTTTAGATGCTCGACTTAAATGAAAATGTGTCTTTATACATTTTTACTTTACTTATTATAGTCCATTTTCGCGCATTTACACTTAGCAACCTAAATGGAAAAAAGATCTGCATAAATTAGGAATAACATAATGATGGAAGATAGTGGGACGTTGGTGTTCTGATAGGATTTGTTCGATTTAGAGAGATGTATAAAGGTATAAGGAATATTGAATCGAGGGAATCGGGTGAATGGATTTATGGTTGAAGGGATCGTTAATGGGGAATGATCAGTGGAATGGATATTATAATAGGATAGAAAAATCTGTGGAAAATAGTAGTTCTAGAAGTTCTAGAAATGAAATTGTAGGATTTAAGTAGAGTAGGATTTAAGTGAATGTTGACAAGGTTGTAATGCAGCACTACAGAAGTCATTGAGACAAAGTAAAAATGTACTTGAGCCAAAATGTCGTGTTAATTAGCTTAAACAGGTCCGCGTGTTCTTCCCTTTCGGAATCGATTCACTTGATTCTCGTTTATGTTGCAGAAATCAGAAGGACGAGTACATCTCGCAGAATGGACACGTGCGGGGTCTACTTGTCTCAACTACGAGCGATGCTCGTGAGGAATCTCTTGTTGAAGAAGCGCGAGAAGCGGAAGACTACGGCGGTACGTTAATTACAAAGCAATTAACACTTTGGAAGTTGATTTAACAGGGTTTAACATCTTTTAATGAATGATTCTTCAAACTGAACGAAATACGGCAGAATGCCTCTTTTTAAAGTGATTCATGAAAATATTTCAATGCTTATAGAAATTTTTTAAACATATCATAAACATTGATATACGATAACTTTTATGTAACATATGATACTAAAAGAGAAACAAGATAATAAAAACCTAGTTGTTACATGTCCCATTTATATCATATAAGTTTTGTTTGAAATATTTTTCATGTGAAGAACAATTTATAAATAATTCAAGTAACAGAGTTGGATGACTCATCATGAGTCATTCTTGATTTCTAGATTTCATGATAGCCGTGTCTCATTACTTTACTGAAATGAAATTTGAAAATGTCTTGTATAACATAATATGTTATGTTTGTAAAAATTTTTTACAGTAAGTATTTAAATACTTTCATAAATCACTGTATATTCAATTGTAAAACATTTTAACTGCTATTTTTCAAGCTTTCAATTTTTATATAGAACTTTTTGGTCGAGCAAATAACAAATGCAAGATAAGATATTCTGTTATGGAAATCTTATCAAATTCCGTGTACATAATATGAATCATCAATAGTTTATGACAGAAGTTCAATCAAGTATATCAGAAGGGGGAAAAAAAAATGACAAAACCGTGAATTATTAATCGAAATCGCTAGTTTTGTATAATTATTATTATTTTGTATAATTAAATATCATTGTGCGACTGTTTGTTCCTGGTTTCAAGGTTTTTGTGAAATCCTTCAATTGCATTGAATGTTCCTAGTATACGTTAACGAGAAACTATGCGGTAATGTTTCACCGATTGCCGAGGAATGAGCAGTCTGATTCAAACGATCATGCCACGACCACACAGTTTCATAGGATTTTTATGTGATCGTCTTAGTTATTTTATGAAACGAGGCATCTTGATCGAGCAGTGGTTCGCGTTGGGAGGCCTGGACTAAGTATAGACACGAATACTTATTTTATGTATAAATCGATTTTCTCTGCCACTAACGAGCTATATTTAGGCTCGCCTTTCCTCTCTTCTCTTCGATCTGCCCTTTATCTTAACAAGTCGACGCAGAAGTTTTGACGAACAGCATAACACGCGACTATACCTTAAAAGAAAATAGTCCATCAGTGTGGAACTCGAAGAGGAAAACATCGAATGTCATAATAATTGAAGAGAAACGAAATGGAACATTATAACGATATCAACTTCAATCCTTCAACGTAAATGACTGGACAATATTTGCATTTCTTCAAATTAGTTTTCTCTTCTTCAGAGAAAAAAATTTTACTTTTTTTTTCCTGAAAAAACTTTCAAACCACTTAAAAATTGATCGTATAACGTAGCAAAGACTTCGGTAAATATCTCAGAATTTTTTCAGACTTTTTGAAACAGCTTTTCGTGACATATCATGGGAAGATATATATGAATAAAATTTCACCTGTGCGTAATATTCAAAGAAAGAAAATCAATCATTATACAGCACTTGGAATTGTCATTTATTTGCCATTAAAAGGAAACAGTGTCTTGGGGGAAACTAGTTGAAGAACGAACGAGATTTACACGTGAATGGATCGGTGGATTCGATGTATAGCTTGCTAGGGGATAAATCGAATATGCATTAGAAGGAGAACCGGAAGAAATAGAAAAAAGAAGAAGAAGAGAAATGTGTACGTTGGGGCGCCAGTTTTAAGCTGCAATCCGAATTCACTGGCTTACAATGGAGAGAAAGATGCGCAGATAGTTTCCATGAACGGCGACGAAGTGACTGCGTTCTGTGGACATCCACATTTGCCAACGGGGGAGGGCGTATTGCCAATTCATTTCGTTGGGTGTTTTTGCGTTAGCTTTGTGCCAAGTGGGCCAAGGGTCGTTGTGGACGTCTACAAAAAAAAGGTGAAGGAAAGAAAAGTATGAAGTTTTCTGTTTTCATCGGTATTTTTTTTTTTCTTCTTATTCTTCCTCCGTTGGATATACTCGATCAAGGATAACGTCAAAATACTGTTGGGCGTCGTATGATCTTGACTTCTCAAAATAAATTTACTCATTTAAATGGCCATTTACGTGGTCGATTTCGAAAGGGAGAGAAGATAAATACCTACATTATTTTTAATGTATGTTTCATGTGGCAGAATCGAAAATATAAATGATGAAAGAAGACGATGTTGTTGTACTATGATGATAGAGAGAGAGAGAGAGAGAGAGAGAGAGAGAGAGAGAGAGAGAGAGAGAGAGAGAGAGAGAGAGAGAGAGAGAGTGTATTTATTGCTGGACAAGTAGAGGTATTGGATTCCAAGAGAATTTTACACATTTTGATCAATAAATTTTAAGAGAAAAAAAGAATTCGAGTGATAATAGAGTTGTAGTAGTATTCTGCTACCAATATTTATTTCTTTACACAGCATGCTTTTATTATAAATATATTATAGATATATATATTCAATAATACAACGAGATTTTTCACTAGAAGATATTACATTAATCTTAAACATTAGTTCTACAGAGACTTCAATAATTGCTACTAGATAAGATCAGGAGATCATAAAAATCACTTTTTTTTAGAACTCTTCTGCTTTCCCTCCTTACCTTTAAAAATAGTTGGATCAATAACATTTGTGGGTCCATTATTCCACATGGAAGTAGAAATAGTCTCTGTTGGCTCAACGGCCGAAGGAAGTAAATGAGGACCAACGAGAAAGTAAACTTGTTCAACCCACGGTGGTAGAGACAAACCAGACACACAACACTGCCACAATGGCAAACCCAAATGGACTAGCATCATACGAAAATACACAGTAAAATTATTTGCCAAATGGTACCATCTGTTAGTATCTTCTCGATGCAACCAAATTGTTGGTGATTCTTCTTCCTGTTTCATGCGGTATAACAAGTAGACCTTGGCCATTCCACTCTCTGGAAAACAACTTGCAATTTCAAACATTTTGCAACCATGGTCGTTTCCTTGCAAATTAATTGAATTTGGATTTTCAAAGTCAGTTATGCTGCTGGCAGTGATTTCATTCAGTTTATGAGTATCGTTATCGAGTTCTTGCTTGCTGGAGTCTGTTTGATGATCCTTGTTCGAGTAACGCTTCAGAGAGGAAAGAGTGCCAATTTCCATGCATCCTACAGGAAATTCTTCACCTGTATAAAAAAAAGATGTATTGTGGGGTAATTTAATTATATTCATCATACATCCATATAGATATAAGTTTAGAATAATAATTATTTTTAATTGTGAGACTACAGTAAAGAAAGTGATCAACAGTTTTAGTCGTTCAAGCCTGTTGCCAGTTATTTCTGAATAGAAATGAACATTCTATCAAAAAGATTAATAATTAATTGTTTCGAAAAAAGTATTAAAAACTTTTTTTTTTTAACAAAACGTTTCTTCAATAACTTCCTCAAAACACTACAATTAGAAAAAAATAAATTTTTTACAGTATTAAAACAGCAGAAATGAAGATGATATCAAGTAATGATTACTAATATATCAGTTCAAAAGGAATAATTGTGGATGAAAGTCAATAAAGAGAATCACGAGAATGTGTGGATAATTTTAAAAGGGGTTTACCTGCTATCTCGAGGTTCCATTGAAGCAGGAAACCGTCGATCGAAGCATAGAAGTTCTTAACATCCTCCGGGAGCGTACAACAATGACGTTGCTCCCAGCTGGTAATGGCCGTAGTCTCACATCCATTTCTACGCTCGACTCGTACATTTTTTACGTACAGGAAACTCTCGAGAATTTTCACTACGCCCAACGTAAGATTCTCGTAAAAGGAATCCTCTGTTACGATATCGACGAAGAACGACATATGTATCTTTTAATATTTGTCCACTGAAATCCCGACAACAGTGGAAAAGAATTTCTTTATTTGGAGAATATTTAATAATTCAAACTACCAGATCTGTTTAAATGATGGGGATTTTTAACTTTGATATTATATTATAGGATTCACGAATATTCGCCAAAAAACGAGAACAATCGAAGCTTACTAAATTTATTAATTTTTTACCAGAGAGAAGAACAATTTTCACTCCAAAGAGACTTTATAAATAAAATAATATTTGATTACTTCTATGAGAATTATCAAATAAAGGCAGTGTTAATTTAAAAATTTCGAGAATCAATGCTAATCCAATTATTCTAAAATAATATTTTTCAATCTTTATTTACTCCGTCATGCATCGTTGTTTCTTCTCTCTTATTTTTTTCATTAAACTAATATTTTCAATATGAATTATTCTGTGAACAAGAATTTGTGGTATACAACGAAGAAAATCCTAAAATCGCTTATGAACGACCGTAAAACCGAGAATAATCGCGCTGATGAATCAGACCAGTTTGATCCGTTGTTGATCGTCATGGTGACGAAACACGAAAGCGAATCAGCATATCCACTTTTCCCGTATTCAAACGGATCGACGAGGGGTTGTATCGAACGCTTGCGCAGGTTTACGTTGCACGACAGGTGTGGGAGAAGAGGGTGCAGGTAGAATAATTATTATGCACGCACGGGGGAGGTTCCTTTCAGAAACTACCGTGTGCACCGTCTCCCCACTCTTATTCAATCGAAATTGTGCATGATTTTTAACGTATGTATTATTAACCGTAGATGAGAGAGAACAGCTGCTGATGACGACTGAGAATTCAGTTAAAAACTTGTACGATGTCTTGGAAATGTCCATCCATCTGTTTCATATTATTTTCTAGAAAATTTTCCTTCGTGTGGCTAATGTTTCTTTTTAATCTCTTTTACTGTGAATAATTTATCATTGCAAATTAGATTATATATGTACATGTTTTGCTGGACACGTTTCTAAGATATTATAAAATTCAATTGAAAAAAATTGGAATTCACATGTTAATTCTCGTTTAACTTTTTTTCTTTTTAATTTTTACAGGAGATTTTCCTCCCCCTTTGTACCCTAGGAGTGTTGATAGTAGTAAAAGTATTGCCACCAAATCCAAATTATCCCGCAATGACAACGCAGAGGCAGGAGGGTGGTATATTCGAGACGTTCAATGGCTACAAGAACAATACGATAGCCGTTGTTCCAAACTCAACAGAAACTTTGGTACATGTTCCTGTCATTAAGAGTTTTGTCTACAGATCACTACTATGCACTATACAATCTACTATACCATGCTACTACTAACTATCTTTACAACGTTATTCTTGTTTCAGACCTTTTTAAATTCGATGAATACCTTATGGTTATCAATGTGGGACTATCCTGGCAAACTTCCTTTAAATTTCATGGTGTTTGATACGAAGGATGATCTGCAAGCGGCATACTGGAGAGACCCATATAGTGTACCTTTGGCAGTAATCTTCGAGGATTCTAAACCTATATCTCAGCATCTATTGTAATATCTAATTTAAAAGCATTTGATAATAATCAGTTTAAAGAAGTAATAGTCGAGTAGTGCATATTTAATCGTTGTGTTGCAATTTGTATTAGGTATGAGATAAGAACTAATCCATCATATACGAATCCACCTTCACCGACTGAATTATATTCCGCCCCAGTTACTTGCCGAAAAGATACGAGCCACTGGTTGGGTGGCGTATTGTCGATAGAGACTGGTGGATCATGTCCTGTGAATAATTATTTGCACTCAGGTTTCCTGGCATTACAAATGATAGTGGATATTACAAAGATAAGAGTATGTTTTGAGTTGTACATTTTAATAAATTTGTAACACAATGATGAAAAGTTTATTACATATTTATTTAATATATTCTGTATATTGACAATTTACAGTTAGACACAGGGAATACAGATTTAACTGTACCAGATATCAAACTAGAAATGTTCCCTAAAGAAGCTTTCACCGCAGGTAAATGTTTAGAATGTTTAATTATAAATAATTTCTAATTAGTACATCAGATTATTATTTATAAAAACAAAGCAATCTTTAGGAATTAAGTTAGTAATAATTAAATGTTTCTTTTATGGCTGTATTTCTAAGGATATTTTTTATTTAGACTGGATGCTGGCCTTTAGAGTTGTTATACCTCTTTTTATGGTCCTGGCTCTTTCGCAATTTGTCACTTACCTTCTGATCCTGATAGTCGGTGAGAAAGAGAAAAAGATCAAAGAAGGAATGAAGATAATGGGCCTAAAAGATTCGATATTCTGGTGGGTAAATGTTATTTAAAAATCAATTAATAGACTTCAAAATTCATACATTCACTTCAAATATTGACATACATTTAATGATTTTTATGTTGCATGATAAAAAGAAATTGAAAAAGAAATTCAGATTTAAAAAATGAAAAACTGAAAATTATAATTTCAGGTTATCGTGGTTCATTATCTACAGCGTTTTTGTCTTATTACTCTCTGCTGTTGGAGTAATACTACTGTTTACATTACAAATGTTTCAACACACACACTTTTTACCAATATTCCTTTTGGTAGTGCTCTATAGTTTCTCCATAATCATGTTCGCTTTTATGATAACACCCTTCTTCGATAAATCACGAGTAAGTATTCCATTGATACTGTTCTGCTACTTTTGTGTCTTTTTTTATTAAATTATTTTTTTTATTCTTTTATCAGACTGCCGGTGTGCTTGGCAATTTCGCAGTCACGATAATGAGCTTGATGTACTTTATTCAAGTCTTTATAAATGACTCTAGCTCAGTCCCGTTTTGGTTAGTCTCTCTTCTTAGTCCAACTGGCGTTGCTTTGGCTATGGATAAGGTTCGTATCACAATACGTAATAAGATCAGTGTTGTATTAATTAAAGAAAAGGAAATCCTACGAATAAAAAATTTTGTAGGCTCTTGTACTAGATCTACAAGGAGAGGGAGTCAACTTTGACAATCTTTGGTCAGGTCCTGGTATACCATTTGGGGGAAGTCTTATTATGATGACTTTAGATATAATTCTCTATGCTTGCTTAGCTTACTATTTTGACTCTGTTATACCAAGTACGTTTTTTTAAAAATACGTGTACATTCACATTAATTGTATTATTAATAAATAACAAATAGTTAAATATTAAATATTTAATTTAGGTGAATATGGAACAAAAAGGACTCCCTGGTTTTGCTTCACGCCTGAATTTTGGTGTCAGAGAAAAGCACCACGGGTGGGTTTCATTAACAATAACCCAAAACATTGGATATGAAAGAAAATAGAAAAGAAATATATTCGCAGTTGTATTTGCAGGTACCATCATCGAACGGTGAGTCGAATTCTTTCATCCCTGGTGAAGAAACTAACCGTGACGTTGAGCCTGTAGTCCGTGAAATGAAGGGTCGTGAAGCAATTAGAATAGTCGATCTTTACAAATCTTACCAGAAGTGTCGTAAAGCAGAAATTAAAGCCGTGAATGGTATTAATTTAACTATTTACGAGGGTCAAATTACGGCGATACTTGGACACAATGGAGCTGGCAAAACAAGTCTTTTCAATATATTAACTGGCCTGACCGCACCTACCGCTGGCACTGCTTTAATATTTGGTTACGATGTTCGAGATTCTAATGATATGCAGATGATTAGAAGTATGACTGGTGTTTGTCCACAACATGACATCCTTTTCGATCTTCTCACACCTCGCGAGCATCTTGAATTCTTCGCTGCTGTACGTGGCATCCCAAAATCGATGATTGAACACGAGGTAATATAATGTAATATACTGAAGTTGTATGAGAATATTTTGTACGAATCATAAATAACTAAAAAAAAAAAATTGTATGTGACTATTTTTAGGTAAAAAAGACTTTGAAAGATATTGATTTAACTGAGAAAGCAGATACTTTTGCAAAATATTTAAGCGGGGGGCAAAAGAGAAAATTGTCTGTAGGTATCGCCATTATCGGTGATCCGAAGATTATTATCCTCGATGAACCAACAGCTGGAGTTGATCCCTACTCTAGGAGACAGATGTGGTCTTTCTTACAGTCTAGACGTCACGGAAAAGTGATTCTATTGACGACCCATTTTATGGATGAAGCAGATATATTAGCTGATAGGAAAGCAGTTATTAGCAAAGGAAAGCTGAGGTGCTGTGGCAGTTCTTTGTTCTTAAAAAATAAATTTGGCATCGGATATCACTTAACGTATGTGGGATATTTGTTAAATAATGAAGAACAACGAATTTTATTAAACATATTTAATAAAAACGTATTTGTGAATGTATAACAGGTTAGTACTTGAAGGAAATGCGAGAGAACACGCCATTACCAGATTAGTAACATCTCATGTATCGAAAGCAGAAAAGGCAAGACGTCATGGACGCGAACTGAGTTTTATTTTACCTCACAATTCAGTGGAAAGCTTCGCACCACTTTTCTCAGCTATAGAACATGAGATCAAAACTCGGTCAAGTAGATTAGGCATCAGTAGTTACGGAGTATCAATGACTACTTTAGAAGAAGTATTTCTGCATTTAGAAAAGGACGAAGGCCCTGAGTATACTATGGATAATTTATCAAAAAAGATGGTGCGCAATCGTGCATTAAGCAGATCTTTATCATTGCAATCTAAGAGTACTTCTTATCAGAGTTTGCAGAACGAAGGTGTTACTGTTCAGAATGACGGTCAAGCAAAAGGTACATTTAATTTAATATCTACAAAGTATTATAAAGTTCACAATTTATGAATTCTTACTATATTTTATTATAGAGGCAGGAGATTTACCGGATGGCGTTCATAATGATAGGAATCCTCCTGTTCTTGGCCTCGGATTAGACCCCATAAAAATTCGGCCTAACTTCCTTCAAACCTTATATGCTATGCTTCGCCTAAGGATACTCAGACTCTTTAGAAACATCCAGCTATTGTACTTCACTATCGTTGCGCCTCTTTTTCTAGTAGTTGTTGGCCTTCATTTAAATAGCATTCAAACAGTTGAGGTCAAGATGCATTCTCTTAAATTGAATACCGGTATGTTTTTAAATAATTATATTTCTATGAATTTGGGAAATAATTTCCATTTTAGTACAACCTTTTCTTTTTTCTTTCACAGACACCTACGGAAATGAGACCAAAATTTTGTACGCGAATAATACCGACCACGACATCACAGATTTAATAGATGGAATAAGTCAAAATGTAAAGAACATTGAAGAATATTATGGAAATTTTGCAAATTTGTTAAAAATTGCACCACACATAGCTGCTTTTAACATCACTGAGTATAGTTTATCTAGAATCAATTTAACTGTCGCATATAACGACACCATGCAACATTCCCTACCAATCTTAATAAACCTATTATCAAACACTTATTACAGGTATAGTTGGTAATTCATTAATATATCGTAGATTTAAATAATTGTATATAAAATTCATTTATTTTCTTTAGATTGATCTCGGATGAAGATAATACAAAACCAATTGAAGTTAAGACACATCCTTTTCAGCAAACTTCTCAGCCACAAGAATTCAATATTGGCACAGCGAGTTCCGCTTTGTTTATTGGAATGAATTTTGTATTGTTACCAATAACTTTAGTTGTAGACATGGTCTACGATCGTGAAGTAAGACTTTTTTTTATTAATTGTGTTTCTAAAATAGTATATTATTTATTTTATTATTTTTAAATGTTTGTTATTTAAAAACAATATATTGTACAGTATTTCTTATATTTTTAGATAAAAGCGAAGAATCAGCTTCGTGTCAATGGTCTGTCTTTTTCTATGTACTTTCTGACGTACTTTATTGTACTTGTCGGCCTGATGACTTTCATTTGTTTATGTATTCTTGGCATCATATTTCTCTTTGACGTGCCTTCGCTTCAAGAAATACCAGCTCTTATTACTTTAGGTGGTCTTCTGATGCTTTATTGTCCATCATCCATTCTATTCTCGACATGTTTGAGTTATATCTTTGATAAGATGGATTCTGCTCAAAGTATTTTGCCGAATATTGCAACTTTCATTGGGCTTATACCGTTTATACTAGTCACAATTCTTGATATGCTGGGCCTTAGTAAGTTATACATTCTTTAAACACTAAATTGTTTATATATCACTTTTGTTAAGGATCATATTTATAATTGCATATGAAAATAATGAAATATGTTTGTTTAAACACTCTAATTTATTATTACAATCAAATAATTAATAAACTTCTCAGGTGGAACAGCAGCGTTCATTCTACATGTAATTTTTTCTTTACTGAACACATTGTACGTACCATATGCTGCAGTGTATTATGTAGAAAGAGTACATCTAATGTGCTCTATTAATGCTGCTTGCCATCATTTAACTATGTCTGATTATTTAACCACGGAAATCATTTTAATGGCCTTTGGCGTGCTTCTGCACTGCCCGGTGTGGTTTTTCGTGCTTTTACTGTTAGACATTAAAAAAAGTGGTGGTAATGTTAGCGATATATTGAAGCATTTCCTGGTTAGTGTATAATTGATATAGTAGATTGAAAATTAAGAGATAAACTTATTTCGTTCAAAAAAATATTCGTCTTTTTCAGCGTAATGGCGGATCGATTGGTGAGGAAATAATGGAAAACTCTGACGTTGGTGAACACGAAGATGCAGACGTTAAAGCAGAAAAGCAGAAAGTCTTCAATTTAATTAGTTCATCATCCGTTCAAGAGCCACCTGTAGTTCTAGTACAGGTATTGTTCTTCTACTATACATTGTTTTTATTGTCATAATCTCTGTGTATTATATAACCAAAGTTACATATTTATTAGAATTTGAGGAAAGAATATCGACAAAAAGATACAGGATCATGCAGTTGTTGTTCAAAACAAGATGAAGAAGCTAGTCAAATACAACGAAAAGTTGCTGTAAGAAACCTTTCGTTAGCGGTTGAACCAGGGGAAGTATTCGGTTTATTGGGTCACAGCGGTGCTGGCAAAACGACAACAATGAAGATTATTATAGCTGAAGAAGCAGCCAGTCGAGGCAGAGTGCAGATCGGTGGTCATAATATTAATTCAAGTATGACAGAAGCTTTTAAACAAATGGGATATTGTCCCCAACACGATGCTCAATGGAAGAATATTACTGTTAGGGAACACTTGGAATGTTACGCCGCCATTCGTGGTGTACCATGGAGTGATATCGGCAGGTGATTAACTCGAGCTACTTTAACATTAATATATAATTCTCAAATAGAGTAAAAAGTACAAACAAAACAAAGCTCCATGTTACAGAATCGTGGATTTATATCTTACTGGTTTGCAAATTCACGAACACGCCGACAAACAAACTCAGGAATGTTCGGGTGGAACTAGAAGGAAACTTAGTTTTGCCATGGCAATGATCGGAGGTCCAAAAGTTGTTTTAATGGATGAACCTAGTGCGGGAATGGATCCTAGGTCAAAAAGGTTTTTGTGGGATACAATTCTTGCTAGTTTTCAGGTTTGCGTTACTCTGTTGAAACTTTTCATTTCTTAAAGTGCATGATTATTAATGGCCCATTTTGTTACTAACAGGGTGGTAGAGGTGCAATTTTAACCACTCATTCAATGGAAGAAGCTGATGCTCTCTGTTCCAGAGTGGGTATAATGGTGAAAGGAGAGTTAAGATGCATTGGCTCTACTCAGCATCTCAAGAATTTATATGGCGCAGGCTATACCCTTGAAATGAAACTCTTAGGCGGTGATTGTACACCAACGACACCCTCCGGTGATAGAATTACTAGTCTGAAAGAATTTGTTTCCAGTCTTTTTCCAGATGCAACTCTCGAAGAAAGTTTTGCCGACAGATTAGTTTTTGCTGTTCCTCAACATGCAGTCACCTCGCTGGCCGAGTGTTTCACGCAGTTGGAGAAAGGTAAACATCAAATAAACAATTAAATTATCGCACGTTGTTATTAAATTGAAACTTCGATTGAAACTTAATTGAAATTTCGATTTTTAGCCAAGCTCGAGTTAGATATCGAAGAATACAGTTTTAGCCAAACTACTTTGGAGCAAGTTTTCCTTAAATTTTCCCACTATGACGAATCTAATTCAGGAGAATGATGACTCACACAAACGAGTGTATTTATTCCCATGTGCTGTATAGTGAAATACTCATGGAACTGCTCAACTTGTGCAAAAAGTGTAAAAAATGTTATTCTTGAAAGAAGTGATTTGTTCTTTAGTGTTCCCACATACTACTGAAAATCACGAAGACAGAAACGATTTCTGCATTCTAAAATATCAAGCATATTCTAATAGTTACGTGAAAAGACTTTATATTATCTTTGGATGCAAACTTTGAAGATTACCGATCCTATTTTGATCCTCGAGGATTCTGTGAGTGAAAGAAAACGTATTTTTACGATATACATCGATCGACCTAATTGCTAAAAAAAAAATTAGATATTTTTTTTTGAGCCGATGTATCGTATCGTTACGTTCGTCAGAATTAAACAGTGACTTCCTGAAGATAAATTGAAAATGGACATATGTGTAAAATTAATTGAGCTGTAAATAGTGGAAAGCTGTGAACGATTTATTCGGTTCAATCTGCAAGAAAAAGGAGTAACAATACTACTTAAATAGTAATATTCATAATTTTGAAATTATATTGTAATATAGTCTATTATTCGATTCCTACGGATATTACGAATAGGTCTCATAATTAATATTGCTGTGGAATTGGAACATTATTATCATCATTATAAGAATAATATTAAACATTGACAGGGAAGGAAACAAGAATCCAAGGATCAATATTAAATTCTTTTTAAATGCAGTGAATTCAATGAATTACCTATTTACATTGATAAAATGTAGAAACACAAACACCTGTATATTCATTTTAGTGATATTTATGATTGCTCGTGGTTATTTCGAGCACTGTTAAAAAAAGAAATAGCATCGTTGTTCAGAAAGGGTGCTATTATATCGAGAAAGGCTACGTAACATACAATCGGGGCAGTTTGATTTGAGCATATAAAATAGTGTGTAGTACGTATTTATAAATACTTCTCCAATTCGCTTATGGTCTTTACCGAAGCCTTTTGAATAACGAAAAATGAAGTTGATAGGTTGTTAATCTTGCCTCGGTAGCACGTAAGACGATAATTTAATACAAGACTTCTGTGGCAGAAGCAAGCGAAGTATGATAGAACAACTTGAATTCAGTAAAATATATTACAAGAAATTTTAAATAGTCCATGAATCATTTCATAATTTATGTTAAGAAAAACTACATTATGACAAAATTATTTATAACTATCTTTTTACACAATTTTCTGTTCAATGTTATAATTTAATTGTTCATTTCCCAACGTTCTTATTTTTCTAGAGAATATTTCATTTTTTACTGCAAATGCAAATCTTCAGTAAATAAGATAGTATGATAAAAACGAGTTGAAAACTAACAAAAAACAATAATTTTTTATTATATTATGTGAAGCTGCATTACATTGAACCCTATTTAAGAGTGGACTTTAAAAATAAATCTAAAAAGGGTTAGATATTTTGTTCTGTATGATCAAGAGGGCCTGGTATGTGTTAAGAATGATTCGTTTAAAAAGTAAAAAGAAAAATATTTAAAGAAAGACTTAGTTGTCATGCTAGGGAAAAATATGTGCTCTCAAAATTTTTCATCGGAGAACAAATTTTTTTAGATATTTATGTGCGTACACTCGATCTTCCGTGGTAAAAAAAAAAATAAAATAAAAAAACTCTAAAAAATTAAACGGAAGGAATAGTAGGAGCACTGGTTGGAGGACTGAATGAAATATTTTGTAGATTATAGTGCATAGGTAGTCAAAAAATAAAAATTTCATTGTGTAAGAAGGTATTGATTTTTGTAAATAAAACTCGATGTAAGAAAGATTCTTACATGTATAGGAAATGTAAAATGATGAAAAAACGTACGCTAATTGTGCATACGCGTATTTATAAAGGGATTGTGTACGCACAAGTCTCATTCTAGCTAATACCACATTAATATAAAATTTAGTCAATTATGGAATTAACATGAATGAAAGGAAAAACTGCAGATAATTTTATGAAAATTATATATATAAATATATAAATATACGTATATTTATATATTTATATAAAACATAATATATACATATATGTATATCATTTTTTAACAACATTGATTATGTTTTAAGTATATCATGACTACGAAATGTATGGGAATATTATAAAACATTCCTAAACACAACTACTGTTGTTGCATTAAGAAATAGAACATAACTTAAATTCACGCTAAGTGATCTTTATTTTTTTTTTGTCTCTAGTTATATCTACATAATATATTCTCTGCTCATACTAATCGCCACTTTTTGGCTTTTCCTGTTACGGCTCATTCATATTCGTTGAGTTTTTCACATCGATCGATATATATGTATATATACATATAATAAATTATATATGTGTATATATATTATTAATATATATTTATATTTATGTAATTAAAGAGTTTGCAATGAGAATTGGAATGACTATTGATTCTTAGATTTTCTTAAAAATTTTATGAAACTAAATTTGCAAACCATTCAATTTGTTTATGAATAAAACATAAAGTAAAGTTGCTTCTAGTTTAAAACAAAAAAAGAAACTTCAAATTTCTCTGCGTGAGCAATTTTATTGTATTTCAGATATATCAATTGTTTCACAGATGTGTGATATCATTCATAAGATTAAATCTTCAATTTTAGAAGGAATAAAATATTTCTTTCAAATGAAAGAATTTGGAACTAAAAATAGAGGACACACAATTCGCTTTTAGTGCAAACCCTTTGATTCCTTGTAAAGATACATCATTAAATTGATTTGATCTTTATCGTTGCTATTTAAAGTTTCCACGTTCTTTACATTTGTTTGCAATATTAGCTATTGAAATGTATATAGAGAGACGATGCAAATGACCATAAGTATAGTCAAAACTTAATGACTTATATAAGTCATTAGTACATATGATTTTCTAGAAATAATATATACATATATTCGTATCGAGACACTACTCGTAGGCCATTGTTAAGCCGACTTTCTCAACGAAAAAATCGAAGCAAAAGGAAGAAAATTTTTGCACACACACACACACCTACACACCCACACCCACACCCACACATACACATACACATGCGCGCACGATCACACACATGCATGCACGCACTCAAGCACTCGCGCGCGCGACCGGTCATCGGATAAGGATTTCGCGCGTTTTGATAGATGCACTCATACACTCAAAGACATTAAGAGAGAAAGAGACTCATGTATAGGTACGACTATTAAAGGAAAAAAAAAAAATAATGCGATTATCATCAATAAAAGAAAAAAAAGCTACACGTCGAATCATCCTGTCGATGAACGGTTGACTTTAAGCGGAACTATAATATTTGTTGTGTAAAGTACATGTAATCGATTGGTTAAATGGAAGCTTTTTCACCAATAAAAAGATGATCAGTTAAACATTTACGAAGTGTCCTTCTTCAAGCGTTTTTTTAAAACTATAAACAAGACAAAAAAAGAAAAAAAAAAGAAGAAAAAATAAGAAGGCCCGAAAAAACATACGAGATACTCCCGAGAAGTATTCTTGCTTCTCGAAATCGATCCATATTGTTGTTTAACATATAATTTTAGAGTAACGTATAGCGATATACATTCGATCTAATTAGTGTTTGTTATGTATTAATTAGCAGAATAATAGGGATAAGTATCATTTCTTTTTTTGAGGCATCTTTGTTTTTCATAGTGTACTGCGAGCGCCAACGAAAACATTGCAGATTTTTCGATTTATCCAGAAATTCTGTATAAACTGATATGACTGTTTGTTTCGAAGCGTAAATATTTGGATAAGTATTACAGTTATTACAGTTACGTGATATTCATGCCTTTGATTTTCTAATTTTTTTTCAATTTTGACTCATTATTTAGCAGTACCATTTTCTTTTATCTTTTCAAGTTTCAAGTTCGTATATAACAAATTTTGTCTGTTTGTAAATGTGAGATTATTCGAAAATTATTTACTTAAAAAACCAGACTCTTTTTATACAAACAATTTAATTATAATAGTGTACTGAAAGACACCAAGAAGTTAGAGAAAAAAAATAAGTACTCTACCAACGTGAACAATTAGACAAATGACTGGTATTGTTTATTATAGCACTTTGCCGTTAATTTTTACTAAAAAAAAATTTGTTAAACAAGTAAATTTATACAATCTTTTTATACAATTTAAAACACGGTAGTTTCCGATTGAATTAGTTACTGACTTTGATTTTCTTTTTTATGTGTAAATTAATTATATTTTATGTTTCACAGGGAAAACTAGCTGAAGAAGAATTTCCGATTATATTACTATAGATAGTATGAATTCTATTACGAGATAATTAATCCGAAATGTATTTGTCCTCCATTCGTATTTACACTACAAATTTTTACATACATATATACACATATACGTAGATACACGTACGTAACTATATGCTTTTTGTCGGACAGAAAACTTGCATATATTAAAGAAAAGTGTTCGTCGTATATTTCGTGAAGTGCAAGATGTATCAAAGAATTTCCGATTACCCTTTAACAATAGCGAGCCTCTTTTAATAAGGTATTTGTTTACTAATGATTGCCGACGATAATGATAATAATTAACTCTGTAAAAGGACGTTAGGTCCCTCGCTTCGGATAAATAAATTTACAATATTGAATTTATTGTATTATTGTTATATTGCAATAAATATATGTATACAAGACGGTTTACAAAATTACAAACAAAATGTTATTTATAACTAGCTCGTTTTTTTCGTCGGTTGTATAATTAATAAAATGGTCGTTTATGCGAATATAAAACTAATATTAACAATATTACATTTCTCGATATTTCCAAAATTGAAGAATTTTTTAATAAACTATTGCATGTGCAATAGTCTTATTAAGTATTGCAGCTAACTCGAACTTTTTGTAGAGTTTAATTTTCAAATTTGTGATAATAAGCATTTAAAGAAATGTGTGTATATATTGGATTATAATGTATGTGTACAATTGAATTATAATGATTTATTTTTGCATTTAATATTCTATTTTTGTTTAAAATAATTTCTAAATTTACAGTTAAAAAATGTTCATGGATTATCAATGAGACATTATTAATTCGTTGCTTCTTCACAAGCATGTCATTAAAAACATACTAAAGTTTTATATAATTTATTATAAATACAAAATTTATTGTGTTAAACTTGTATAAATGCAATGATATAACTTTTGTTTATCGTAACAACATTTAATAAAACCTTGTTCATAAAAATTTATGAAAATACAAGTAAAATTGCTTTCGTAGGTCTTCAAAAATTTTTAACAGCTGTACATTTTATAGTTAAATAGTGCATACATAAGCGCATTAACAAGGTTTTATTACATATATATTATTATTCTAACAAGGGAAGTAATTATATATTACTACTATGGAAGGAAATTTTAATTAAGATCAAATTAAATTTAAGATAACAACAAACTTCTATATACGTCAAGAAACATCCTTTACTATATAACTTGATACATTTGTTAATTTCTTTTAAAAATGATACAATCAATTATTATAAATCATTAAAAATGTGATTTAAAAGCTATGTTCTATTTATGCTTTGAACTATTGATATACACCTTTTGGTCTTTGTTACAAAATATTATAAATTATATTATATTTTAGCTTTACGTTTAACTTCTTTAAAATCGACATTTATATGTATAATAATATATAATATATACTAGAAATATTTTCACATTTCCTTGGTTAGAATAGAATTGAAATGTTTATTAACAAAAGTTACAGAAAGATATTATACTAGGCAAAATTTAAAAGAATATTTCAATTGAAGAAGTACAGATTTTCAAATTAAATGTTTTTTACATATTTCATACGAGATATATTTTATTATATCAGCTTTTTAACATTTTAATTATTCGGAAAAAAGATAGTATCAGATAAATGATACGAAACTAAATCTTCTTCAATATTTGAAATAAGAATTTTTTGTAAAATAATAATTATCAAACGAATCATTTCTTCAAGAAATTATTATACTTTAAATATCTATTTATAATATATTACAATATATTTATTATTTCAAACCATTTATAAAATTTAATCTATTCTTTGATTCAAATTTTTTTAATTTTCACAACTACGTTTCATTCAAACGCCGAATTTTATATCTAAAATTATAATACAAATCATTGTTCTAGTATCCTATCTATTGTGCTACTGTCAAAAGAAAAAAAAAGAAAGAAAATAAAACACCTTTTACAAGAATTGACTTTACCTGAGATCAGAATTTATGAAAATTATAGTTCATTCGGTGAAGTCATCACAAAATTATTAAAAAATGCAGCACTTTTTTTTTATATTACATTCAGAGAAGTAGCAATATTTGATATACTTCTTTTCTGCTTCCTTTCCTCATAAGAAGTGCAACTGTACTTTTAATTAACCATGATCATGATAATAAATAGAAAATATATGAAAGAATACACATCGTAATAGTAAGAAAAATTTACACAATTCAATCGAGAGACATGACATGAATTTTAATAATTTAAACTTTTCTTCTTCATGTAGAGAGGTATAAACGATGATAATCATTAGCTCCAAAAGCACAATTACATTTTGGACATTTTCGTTGCCTAGTCTCATATCGTGTACGTAAGCAATCCCAGCAAAATACATGAAAACATTTTGTTAGAACCGCATCTTTGCGTTTAACTTTACAAGAAGGACATGTAAGTGTTTCTTTATATTCTCGAAGTTCCTCTGCCATTACTTCATCCAATGTTTCAGCAAGTTCTATTTTCTTCATTCTTTCAACTTTACGTCTCAATTGAGCTATTTCTTCCTAAAATAGCAATAATTTAAATAAAATAATTTTGTTTGTAAAATTTTCTATAAAATATGCTATTTAACGCGTTAATGTTACCTGCAATCTTTTTGTTTTGTATGCTTCTGCCTCCAAAGAACTAGTTTTCTCAGCTACAACTTGTTGTGCTTCTTTCATTTGAGAATGGTATTTTTCTGAACAAAATAATAAATTAAAAATATATAAAAAATATCTCCATAAAATAATTAGAAATGCCATTAAATATATTTCTTACCAAGATGAAGTTTTAAATCAGCTGCAGACTGAGCACTTTCAATAGCTTTCCTTTTATGCATTTCCATTGCCTGTTGTCTCAAAGCCAGTTCTTTTTCGACAGTAGCAAGGGAATTTTGCAAAAGACGTTCTTTCTCTTCTAATTTACGAACAACGACATTGGCAGCTTCGACTTGCGTTGTTAAGGTAGAAACTTGCTCTTTTAAAACGTCTTTCTCCTCTCTAGCTAATTTATGCAATTGATTACTTTTAATTCTTTCTGTCATAAGTTTAAAATTCGCATCATCTTTTTCACGTAATTGTTGAATTAATCTAGAATTTTGTTCTTGCATATCTTCAAAAGCTTGGCCGGTTACCTCCATTTCATTCAAAAGAGCCTCCTCTTCCTGAAACCACATACAATTCTGTTTAGCATTACCGATAGCTCAATAGTTTTAAATAAAATTCGAGTTTTATAGAATTTATCAAATATATAAAGTTACCTGCTTTTGAGAAGCAACTTGACGCTGAAGAGTATATGCTTGTTCTTCTAATTTTTTAATCTTTATTTGTGCATCTTCATCTGCCAATTTTTTGCGCTCTTCTCTCTTGCTTTCCTAAATAAAATATAGATTTATTGATAAAATTAAAAAAAAAAGAGATTTTCAATTAAAAATTTCAATTTCAATTAAAAGCTGCACAAATACCTGAATTTTCTTTATTTGTTGACGTAATTCATCTAATTCTGCTCTCGTTTTTCTTTCAGCTGCCATTAGTTGCACTTTATCTCTTTGTTCTTTTCCAACACCTTTGTACATGTCTAATAATAATTTCATTTCTTTCATTTCATTCACAGCCTTTCTGCAATTAGAACGATCAAGTGCAAATAATGAATAAATATAAATTATGACACTGTAATAATGTAAGATGATATAAGACATACTTAAGTTGTGCTTTCAGATCTCTAACAAGTTCTGATTCCGCTACTTTCGTGTCTTTGGCACGATGTGTAGGATCGCGATGTTCAGTTTTAATAGTTTCCTTCTTTGTATCTTTTTCACGTTTATTATCTTTTTCTTTTTTTAAAGTTGGCGATGTTAATGTCAAAGAATCTGGAGTTCCTTTATTTCCTTCTCCTTCTCCGACTTCAATAGTTTCTACTTCTTCTTCTCCAGATTCTCTTTTCATTGAGACTCCGCTCTCTTCCTTAATCTATATTAACATAAAAGTTATCTACCATTCGAAAAAGTATTCTTATAACACTTTGGAAATACAAATTTATTAGAACCTGTGTAGAACCTGGAAGAGAATTCGATGCGTCTTCCTCTTTTCCGCTGCCATCTGAATTATTGCCTTCTTTATTTTCCTGAGACGTTTGTTGGCCTAATTTTGTTGTCAATTCTTCAATTTCTTTCTTCAACTATAGTAAATTAGGTATTAACTGTAAATACTTTTACACTGTTATTTTTCTCATATAATTTAATAACATACGCACTTTCGGTATTTCTGATGAAGCTTCTTTGTATTTTCGTTTATAACGATGGACTTCGCCTTTAAGTTGTTGATTATGATTCTGCAAAGATGTAATCAAATGTCTCATTTCTCGATTTATCGGCCCTGTTTGTTCGTTTGCCGCTAAATTTTGTTCAAATTCAATTCTTAACATTTCATACTCCTTTCGTAATTGAGCCAAAACGTCTTCCAGTTGTATACATTCTCCGCGTAGTTTCTTCTGTGCCATCAATTCTTCGCTCTAAAGACGTTAATAAATTTATATAATTTTATAATAAGAAAAATAAAAAAAAATAAAATGCACTTGCCTCCATCATTTCAATATGTCGTAAATGAGCATTTTTACTGGATTGTAATTGCTGACGAGCATCGTCTAATTGGGTTTTCAATTGCATCGATTCATTGTATAATACAGAAAATTGTGATTGTAAACATTTGTATTCAGTCGTCTCAACGATTACCGATTCTGGAAGTTGTCGTATCTGTAAATATAAAATACTTTTCAAAGTAAAAACAATATTTGAACACAATATCAAGTAGCCTTCCATTCAATTCCTTTTATATGTATTTTATTTAAACATAAATAGAAGTAAAACACAAGAAATCAGCAAAAGCAAGTATAACATGAGTATATTTATTGCATAAGACATTAATTTACATTCTACACTGGTCACCACAAACATATGTATAGAAACCAAAGAACTCACATCCATTTTTAATTTTTCTACTTCTTTCAATGCATCGCGATGCTGTTGATGCAGTTTATCTAGTTCTTGTAGTCTGTTATTAGCTAACTCTCTGGTTTCTTCCAATTCCCTTTGTAAATCTTCAAGCTATGTAATACAAAACGAATATTAAATAACTTGATTTTAGATAAATAGATGTCAGTATATGGCAGAATATTGTACCTTTGTTTGTGACACACTTGAAGCAACTAGAGTATTTGGTTTATTACTTCCTTTTTCATCTGTACCATGTATTTGTTGAAACGCTTTTAGTTTTTCAATTGCTTCTCCAAGATGATGTTCTAATTTATCATTACGTGCTCTCACTTTATTTAATTCATATTGAAGATCGTCCACTTGATTACGTAGCTCCGCAGCAAGTGTATCTTTTCCTGTAATAGTATCCTGTAGCTCTGACATCTATAAAAAAATATATTTATTTTACTTATTAATACGTAATTAAAAATATAATTTATCAATATAATTAAACTCAATTTACCTTTAATGAGATAGTGTGGTATTTTTCATGAAGCTGTATATTTATTGCTTGAAGATTCCTATTTTCCATTTGTATTTCAGCATTTGCTCTACGAACAACTTCGTCAATATTGGGTGCTTCTTCTAAAGTATAATAAGATTGTCATTTTTTGTTATAATATATTATTTTCTTTTTGATGTATTGAAATTAAGTACCTCCATCGAATTCTCCTTTAAGTGCAAGAGTAATCTTTTCGTTTCTCTGAGAAAGACGGTCAAATGCTTGTACAACTTTAGAAACTGCACGCTTGGAGACTTGAACACGATTTGCTAACTTATCATCTAACTCCTCTTTGTCCCATGAAGAAAGCTGCATAAGAAATGATGTTGTAGCTTCACTTTCATCTATAATTACATATTAAAACATTTATTACAAGCTACAAATATTTAATAAATCTATTAATAATATATTATTGTTAATAAATCTATCTACAAATATATTATTGTTTACTTTTATTTTCAGATTCATCAGCTGTTTCAGCATCAAATCTTTGAAGTAATACACGTATATCTTCATTCAGTTGATTCCAGTAACGATTGACAACATTAAGCACTGCATCATCTTGCATTTGCCGCTTTTCCAACTGTTCAATTCGTTGCCTTAATTCAGCTTCTACTCTGTGACGTTGCTCCAATCTCTGTATGATCAAAGAAACATAGTATAAAAGAATTTGTATTTTATACTTAAAGGATATTTAAAAAATCAATTTCAATTAACAAATAATAATAGGATGTTAAAATATCATAAGATGTTTGAATAAATATACTATTCTTGTTTATCTATCTGTTATAAGATACCAGATATATTAATATAGCAAAACTAGATCATAAACTTATATAATAAATTAACATTTTACATTATGAAAGCTTCTCATAATACCTACATTTCTAACAAATAATTACAAAGTAACATATAATATTGGTTGTAAAAAAAATATATTTTATTAATTATGAATAAATTAATCAGGTCAAAATGCGACATTTTGTAGATAATATTTTTCTTTGAAGATTGAAAATTGTTAGATGTTTCTGTACGTTTTGAATACTAACCTGGGCCAATTTTTTATTTTGAAATTGTAAAACTTTCATGTCCATTTCTTCAAGGGTTGAAATAGAACCGATAAAAATCGGCTCGAATTGAACTTTTTTAATAGGCGGTTGGGAACCCGAATCCCCGCCTTCCGCAGCTCGCTTTGACATTTTATTGCGAGCGTTTTCCTCTTCCTGAAAAGTCAAACATGAGAAGTGTATTTTTAAATGAACGAGGCAAACACCTCGTAACTGATTTATCATTCACAGTTTCTGATAATTTTGTTATTGATCAAAAGTAATCCGTACCTCGGTGTAACGTGTACTAGTACATTCAGCGATCCTCTCCACAAATACCTTACAGTTCCGATGTTACTATGTCATTTTTAGACGTCTAAAACCTGTCGAAGAAAGCCGATCTTTCGACAGATCTTTATATTTTAATGAATACGGTCGACAAAAAATACGTGCTTATAACGGAAGGCGCCATTGTATCACGGCGTTGCATACGCGGCAAATAAAAAAATAAGGCAAAAACATCGACATTCTCTGTGATTATACAGTTCTAACTAGGCGAGTATCATAGGTCCATCGACCTAAATGGTACCATAGGTCCATCTGGTGTAAAGTAAGTAAACTAAGAGGATAGATAACATTTTATTAGCAAATTTTAAGATGCAAATTGATATGCATTTGATATTCCTATGAAAACGATTATAACAAAATTTATTTCGTCCGCTTCGAATATTACGTAATTTTGTATGTTATGCACCTAAATTTCACTTAAATGCCTAAACATTCTAAACATATGCCAGATTATTTTTATATCTAGTTATAACTTAAATTTATAATTTAAATTACAGTTTATAACTGTATTATATGTATTCATTCAAACATTTCAATATCAAACTATTGAAAGTACAGAATAAATGATAATTTGTTTTTAATAAAAATATACGTATAGAGTAGATTTCTTAAATCAATTTGAATTTAATAGGTTTCTATTTTACCATTAGATGTCAGCTACTTTGAATTCCTATCATATTAACTGTGAAATAGTATAAATTCATTAGTAAATTCAAACGAGAAATTAATCGTAATGTAATGTATTTTATAAGTCAATGCACGAGAGTTAATTTTCTATATAAACCATTTTTTCTTTTTCAGAAATGATACACTTAATTATTAATACAAGGTGTATGATTTTTCCAGAGGTAATACTTAATATATGATTTCCTCACTGAAAATGGATTAAAATAAACCAATTCTTAATAGGTTAAACGTTTCTATAGAAACCGCCCTTCCACTGATTCATTTATATATAGATCAAACTACCTCTGAAAGAACATTGTCCTTTTAAAAGTGCAACAGCATTTTTCAAATTCGAAAAATAAAATGCTGAATCGCGCGGTTGAAATAGTTCCTCCACCTCCGTTAAAATTTACTTTACCCCAATGGCATCTAAATAATCGTCACAGGTATGAGTATAACAATTTTAATTCCGTAAATTCAAACTTGCACAGTTTATATTCGTACTCTATTAAAATATTAAACATCTGTAAATTGGAGAACCTATAACAACAAAAAAATTACATAACGATAAAGAGATAAGAAATTATATAGTTGTAATTATAAAGTTATATAATTGTAATTATAAAATTAAAAATAATTATATTTGAAAATTATCTGTGAAATATTATTAACTAGGTATCGATGTTCGGAGGCTCAGCAGGAATTAGCAGATCGTTTACTTAATGAATCTCAGCGTATTTGTGAATTAAGTTCTGAGAGGGTACGAAACAATAAAGAAGAAACGGACTATAGATTAAAAGAAAAACTCGAGGACATCGAATTTCGTAAAAAAGAATTGCTGCGTATAAGAAAAGAAGTTCTCCTTGAAATTGATGCTCTATCGATATACAAGGAGCGCATCATGGATGCTCTATCGTCCGTGCGGAGAAATGCTCTTGTCATTTCCAATAAATGCCTCAGTTTTAGGTTTGACGTAAAAAGAAAACCATGACTATCGTATGGTTAATTTTTTTTTTTTTTTTACAAAAATGTCTATTAAATTGTATTATTATTTCAATTACAGAGAGCATAGATTAGGAATTGATTTAGTCCACGATGACGTTGAGAAAGAATTATTGAAAGAGTGTGAGGTAATCAAAGGTGTTGAAAATTTGCTAGTTCGGACTTTAGAACAAACTCAGGAGCAAATACGTCGTCTTAAAGCGACGCTTTACTACATGGATCACGACCTCGAGGATAAAGAAAATAATTTACGTATCGACAAGTACAATTTAACTTTGAAGGAAACCAGTTTAAATTTAAGCACTTATCACGGTACCTCACGCCTTGATCCATCGTTGGTATCATTTTTGCTGTTTCATTTTTCTTACTTCTAATGTTTTTTTTCTAAATCCAATTTCTAAAGTTTATTTTTGTACATTAAGAACTGTAGAGTTGAATGAATGGGAAATGCAAACTAACAACAATATTATTAATGCTTCGAAAGAGGTGAATAGTGCTATACCATTGCGCTGTTATATTGATACCATTATAAAACAAGCGATCGATGATTTAAATGACCAGAAAAATGCTACTGACGAAGCGTTCAGACGACGCATCGAAGAAACGAGAGAAGCAAAAACTAAATTAGAATTACAACACGCTGAGGTGCGTGGAATAACCATTAACATTTAATTTAAAAGCATAAAAATTATTAGCGTTGTACAGAGTATTACAAGTTTTAACTCACTATCACAAAGTTATAAAAAACATATATGAAACACAAAAAAAGTACTAATGAACTGGTGATTACTGTACAACGTTGAACTGTTAACAACAGAAACAACCTGTGCATGAACATTATGTAATTTGCTAATTATATTTAAATATTCGTTCATCGCAGATTATTGAATTTATTAGAATAATAGTAATATAACAAACAAAATTAATAAAAGATTATAATATATACAAATATATATAATAGATAATATATATAATATATATAATAGATAATGCGACAAGCTGCGGAAATGAAGAACAATATTACGCGCATTGAGAAATCAATTGCAGAGAAGGAAAATTTTTTGGCTTTGGCGCATACAAGGCTCGGCAATCGTTGTCAAAGGCCAGGATTAGAACTTACACGAGATCTAGTGGAAACTAATCTTGTAAAGGAAGTATATGATTTACATGAAATCGTATCGAAACTGCAGGCAACTATGTTCGAGGTTTATGTTCTACATTTCATACAAGTTATTGTTTCGTTCTTTAATTAATTTATTATCAATAATAATACGCATTGCTTTAGGCTCAGGCATCATTACGTTATTTACTCAAAACACAAATTCAAGTCGAAGAAGATATCAACGTTAAAACAAACACGTTAAAAATCGATGAAGTTGACTGCATGACTCTTCGTCAAAGCCTGGATTATCACGCATATTGAATTAATTCAAGCATCGAATAATTCTATTAAAATTTTTAAAATACAGAAAACAGTAATGCTTACCCTTATAAATGCACTGCGGATTTTTATACATTTATAAAAAATTTTAAAATTCAAAAGTAGGATACATGCAAATATATACGAAGTACATGTAAAAATATAAACAATTTTCTGTATAATGTATTCTATTTTTTTTAAATTCTATAATATAAAATTAATTTGCATGAATGTTTGCAGCATATTTATCTAAACTAATGACATTGTTGAAATTGTATCTAAATTTTCATATATAGAAAGTTTTAAATTATATATATTGCAAAAAATATTATTCTTAGAATTAAATTACATCTGAAATTATGTTGTGCAAATTTGCGATAGATAAGTAATAATGCACATCATAGATATTATATCTACAGTCTATTTATTAATCTATAGATCATATGTTTCAATAAAGAGTTATTATTGGAAGTTCTTGCTTTGGTTTAAAAAAGAATATCCTCATTGGTTAATACTTGTGACTAGTGCAATACTAACTAGCTAACTTGTCATTCCTGTTGTGGTAGTACTTTATTTAGAAGCAGTGAATTTTCCTCCCCGTCCGCGTCTCTTCGCAAAAGTGTCAATTTGAGTGTTCGTGAAAAATTTTCTGACTGATTCTGACGTAGAGCTAGTCTAATGGCAGATATACGTTGGGAGTGTGTTCCGTTCAATTTTACAATATTTTACGCATAAGGGATTCTGTTTATTGATTCTGAAATTACAAAAAATGGCAAGTGATACAATAATTGTATTACCTGGAGAAATAATTGTGTACATTTTGGAAGATAAACGACTCAGCCTTGCTGATATCGTTCATTTCGGTTTAACTTGCAAAAGTCTGTACAAAATTGTCAATGGAAGTAATAAACTTTGGAAAACAAAATTTTTCAAAAGGTATATCAATCTCTATCTTAAAACTTAATAAATTATCGTTAAAATAAGGAGTCGTATGAATTGTGCACTCATCGTTTACTTTGAATGATTGATTACTTTGAACATTTGAACATTTAAATGTTTGAGATTTACAATAGATTTACAAATGAATTCTTTCTATACTAACAAATAAAACGCTATTTGCAAATTGTTATTTTAGAGTTTGAAATATAAATTCTAATTTATATGCTATATATGTTTGCTTTTAAACACTATGAATAGAGAATATCTCAGAAAATATTATTTTACTTGATCATTATGTGCATTATGTACATTTTTACAACTACTTCTTTTAGAATATTCAATATCATTCTTAGTATCATCATTATTCTTTTTTCTTGTGCAATGATAGATGGCCACTTTTGAAAGAAGTATATGAAACAAATAAGAAACTGGAGCATCGAATGATAAATTGGAAGGAAGAAATGAAAGTTAGTGTTACTAGCAGAACAAAATTGCTTTGTTATTTATTTTCTATGTCTAGTAAACATCACAGGAAGCAAGACTTACCTAATTCAGAATTTAAAGATTTAGATCCTTTGTTTTGTCCAAAAGAAGGTGCTCATCCTTTAGCTTATTATTTTCTCTTAGATGAACTTGATAGCTTAATTAAACATCCTACTACGTAAGTACATTAAAGTAAAATATTTTTATTTTAGAACTTTAGATGATGATATTATAAATTCTTTCAGCAATTTAACGCATAGATATTATGGCCTCAAAATTATTCGATATTTGAAACAAACCCATTTGAAAGATGAATGGCAAAAATTTATTTCTCTGCCATCAAAACAACAGACTTTAGAACGTGGTGCAACTTTTGTAGCTCAATGGAGTCAGCCAGAAAAGAATGTGTCATATCTTGCAATATCATCAATATTAGATAATATTGCAGAACAAACTAAAGAATTTCTGAGAGAACAATACCCAGGTCATTCTATATTTTCAGTTTCAAATGAGAGATTTAACTTTTGGAAAAATAATATTATTGATGACAATCAGTGGAATGTTACAGAGACAAGACAAATAACAGATGCATTATGCGAAGTATTATTTGTAAAATTAAAATTCTATGGCAATAGTAAAATGTATTATTGGTTGGAAAAATCATTTATAGATCATGTAAGTTGTGGATAAAAAATAAAAAAACAATTTCATAGCATAAGATAGATTTCTAATATTTATAATTTTTCCATTAGGTTTTAGAAACTGGATCTGGAATTCCTATAACTTTAGCAATAGTATTTGAAAGTGTAGCTCGAAGACTTGGTGTACACTGTGAACCTGTTAATTTTCCATCTCATTTCTTATTACGATGGAAGGAAAGATAGTAAGTTTTTAATTAATGTCAGATACGATTAATAATTCATGCTGTACATATTAGAAATTTGCATGAAATATATGAATTTTTGATAATTTTAGTGTAATAATTATTTAATTTTAAGTTTCATTTTATTGGATATTATTACGTATTTTATTTTAGTGGACCAGGATTTAAGGATACAGAAAATTTTTATATTGATGTTTTCAATCATGGTCATTTTGTAACTAAGGAAAGTTGTCCCAGAGTTGGTGGTGTTTCAAGATGTCCAATAGAAAAATATAATGTTCATGAAGCAGCAACTGCTATAGAGGTTTATAATTTTTCTTTGAATTAAAAATCTTTGTTTTTTGTTGTTTTTTGAATGAATAATATACTAACATTGTTTTATAGGTAGTAACAAGAATAGCAAACAATTTAGAAGTTGCTGCTAGACAGCATACTCATATAAATGATAGGACTGCGAGATTACGTTCCGTTCTTGAACTCCGATATATGATACAACCTGACGCGAACATAATTTTACAATTAGGTCGAATATATATTTCACAATATATGGATTTAACTGAATTAGTAAAAATATTAGAGAATATGCAGCAGGTATTTTATGAAACCGATGTGTCATAAAAAATTAAATTTATATTTATATTTACAAAATTATCGAAATTTTTAGGATTTAGAGTTGATATCAAGAGGACAGGCGAATATCATATTGCAAACGTTTCAAACACTCCAAAGATGTCAGAAGAAGTTACAGCCTGAAGTTAGATTCACAATAATATTTATAAAAGTTTCTATATAACAATTTATTGAAAAAATTATAATTTACATGTATTTTATGCAGGAAGAAGTAAAACCAAAGAGGAGAGTTCCAAGCGTAAAATATGCGATAGGATTGATTATGACACATAGAATACATGGATACTTCTGTGTAATAACAGGATGGGATCCACGTTGCATGGCGTCAACAGAATGGATGAATGAAATGAATGTAGATGAATTGGATCAGGGTGCAAATCAACCATTTTATAATATATTTGTAGATGATGGATCATGTCATTACGTGGCACAAGGTAATATATTATTTATTACCGACTTCTAAAATGAAAAAAAAAAAACAGTACGTTTAATATGTTGTTTTATTATTAGAAAATTTGGTACTATCTCCTAATTCACAAGGGATAAATCATCACGCAATTGGTAGGTATTTCTACAAGTTTAGTGGTGCTCATTATATACCAAACGAAGAAAAAGCAAGAGAATATCCAGAAGATGAAAGATTTTGCAACGAATTACTTGTTACGTATATGCAAAATAGAATGGCATATAATACTACTTAACCATTTATGTTCTTTAGCTCGAATACAAGATGATAGTAATACAAAACAATTTTTTCCTTAGTGTAGTATATCCAGCGCATCATATTTAAAAAAGTTATATTTTCATAAAAAGAAATTTAAATGAAAAAATAATATTTCATTTGCCATGCTGTTCACTATTGAATTTCTTTGCTTTAAATAATTTTTAAACTAAATTTCTAAATACTTATTGCAAATAGAGAAATGCAAAGAACAGTTAGGTTTATACATATATGTAAAAGTTCATTTAGTGACGCGTATGATTTGTACAAACTATTATGTATTTTCACTATTATATATATACTGTTGACAGGTCAAATAACGTTTATTATAAACGTAATAATGATATATAAGCATTCTAAAACATAGAATTACTTCTGACTCTTAATCTCAGATGTGATATAGATGTGTATGAATGTATTTGTTGTTTTGTATAATAAGAGTAAGAAGTGATTCATGTTTTAATATTAAACGCAAATGTAATAAATGTTAAAAACCTGAACTCTAAACAGTAATTGTAGTTTTTATAAAGTACATATATGTCTTTACATTTGGACACAATGTAACTCATTTAAAATTAATTTATGTACTTATAGTAGATTTAAGTGCATAATAAGTAAAATAACAAAAAATATGTATTTAGTTATACTCTTTATTTTATTTTACTGTCATGGGCTGTGCTCGCTTTATGTATATTCACAAGCAATCACATAAAAATAATACAAAATTTTTTCTCATACTTGTAAAACCATAACCATCTGCAGAAATAAACGTATTGAGTATTTTGATACTACATAATATATTAATATTCGAGTCTAAGTTTACTTAAATTCGAATATATTTTATATACATAATATACCTTTTTATATATACTTTTTAAGCTGAAAAAAATTGGTTTTATATTACTAGTAACCCGAGTAAGATTTAAAGAAATTATCTCAAAGCGAGAATTATATACTATTACATAATCGTAATATCAATATTTTACATTTTTTAATACAGTACCTGCTGCAAAATACTAATTTTAATAAGTATTATTTACCATGTCAAAACAATCGAATAGATCTCCAATTCTTACTGTTCTTACTATTTTTTTCATCACTTTTAATAATATTAATTAACATTACAGTTAGATAAATAAAAAAAATCACAGAACATTTGTAACATTAAATGACAGATGCAATTGAAAGTGAATTTCACGAGTTATTTTCTTCTAACGATCTGCAAAGATAATGTAATTTTATATTTTTAAATATCTTATATGTATAAAATTATGAAGTATAAGTAATATATCAATAACAAGATAGAAAACTATATTTACTTTTCCGCAGTGCATTTGTTGGCAGTATCATTAGAAGATGCTTGCATAGTAGCCTCTAAACCATTTTTTTGACCTAAAGCAAAATCATCTTAATTATGTGATATTTATTGTAAAAATAAGTATACTTGCTATGTTTATGTTGATATAACACTGGTGCCCAGCTGTAACTGTTGGGACTCGGTATAGCATCTGTAGCTGTATTGCTTGTAGATGATAATGGAACATCGTGCACTAATGAAAGTGTAGTAGATTTAATAGTGGCAGTGGCACAACCATTGGATTTTCCCTCTAATGGAAGATTTTTCCTATGAATGGTTTAAAGGTATTAAAAATGCATTTTTTACAATTTTTTTTTGGAAATAGAAATAATTGTTACCTTAATTTATTGAAACAACTGGCAGTGTCCTTTTGAAATATTGGAGACAATTGAATAGTCTCCAGCAATTGTTCGAATTCAAATAGTTTATTATTTTCGTTATTTATAATACTAACGTTAGTGGATGATGATGGTGAAGATTGTCGTCGCGATAATAAATGCTTCGATACAATTTTATTGCTATCCAATGCTACTGAAAAAGTATACACTTCATATGAATGTACATGTATACACATATAAAGAAGCTGAATACAAATTTTGTAACATATTATACTTACCATTTGGCACTATCAAATCAGATCTGGATGTTTCTACCTCGTGATTAATTTTATTAACCATAGATATCTTTGGAAGTTCTTTCTCACAGTCTATCGAATTTGAGCGAGTTGCGGGTTCAGATCGTGTCTGGCTTCCGCAAGCAATTAATCCAGAAACTTCTTGCTTATAGATACTAGGTAATTGACTTAATTTTAGTCTATTATTGTGACATATTATTTGAGGCTGGCAAAGATGCGAAGGGCACGTAGAATGTTTTTCAGCAAATTGTTCGTTACATGTTGAGTCATGTTCTGGTTGCAAAGGATTGGAATTATGACGTTGTAAAGTTGTTAAAGTCGTTCTTGAATCACAAGTATCATCTACACGTTGATTAAAGCACAGTGAAGTCCAAGCAGAATTTCGATCTTGCATTTTGAATGAATGTAACATAATCTCATCTTCCAAACTAGGGCAGCCGCCTAACCTAATGATAAATTTTACTATTAAAAATTATTTTCTAAAGCATAATTATAGTTATTTTTAAGTGTCAATAACATACATTCGAATATCACCTGTACCACATCGGTCACTCTGTTGTTTTGTACGTTGCTTATTCTGAATCCATGGTGATAATGATTCTGCAACTTCTACATCGTTTTCTCCTGTGAACATAATCACATTGAAGATATATTTTTATTAATAAATACTAAAGCATACATAATTATGTATTGCAATTGATAGGAAATATCGTAGATAAAAGATAGATTAAAATGTGTTAAACTTATAATGATCGATTGAACAATATGAATAAATTAAGATCAAGTTTCTGTAACTTGAATCTGTAACTATCATAATACGTATACAGGAATATTTATTTCTCGTTATAAAATGAAATGTAAAAGGAGAGTAATTCGAAAAGAGACAGAGATTTTTTTATGATACTGCTTGAAAGTGATTAGAAGTATGAGAGGTGGGATTTTCTTTCACAAAATCTTCATCTGGTTTCTCATTTGTGGGTTTTTCACTTTCGACATCTTTATCTAATTTGCTTTCTCGCCTATGTCTCTGCACATCGTCTACAGAACCTCTGTTTGAACTTGTACCTATTCAGCACATTACTACGTTATATTGTAATTTTAGACGACAAAGTTGTATGAGAAATTAAGCTTGCTCGAGTAATCTAATATAATAAATATAACAAATCAGTGTATACCGTACAATCAATGTATACTAATGTATACCTGACATTGTTTCATCATCTACATCATTTTCATCATTAGAGTTGTCATCCAGAAGAGTTATATGTGGTTCGTTATGTTCGCATTCGTCTAAATATATATCGTGTTCACTTAATTCCTATAACAAATATAGATTGTTACTTTAAACAATACCCAAATTCAATAGAAATAATATAGTTAAGAAATTCATTAGTTTAAATATCTTACTCCACTATCACTGCTGCTGCTACTAGACAGAAGATTTAATTGTTGTTGATTAAGTACTGTCGGCGAAGAATATGAGGGAGGGGGAGAGTGAGTACTTATAGCTGGGCAATCTCCTACAGAACTATCGTTTGTACTATGTATACTGGGCGGTTCAGCTTCAACGACGCTTAGATTATTTATTCTATGTTGTTTTAAGCTTGTTTTGGACGAAATAGAAGATAATGTTGAGGAAGAACCAAGAGGGCGCATATTTGAAGGTTCTCCTAATTCACACATCGGCATTAATTGATCTGATAGAACACCACCATTAGTTCCACCAAGAAGAACATTTTGTACTGATCTGTTATATAAATAAAAAGAAATTGTTCTTAAAATATCATTCTTCATGAGCTTTTGAAAATATTAATTTAAAGAAAGAAGTTCATTTACCTTGTAGATGTGCCATTTTGATATGTTTCAGCTGAACGTGTAGAATTGGTATTAAGTAATGCATCACCAGCAGCTTGTGATTGTTGCTGCATTATCATGGATGTTACATTTGATGTTGACCCACATAATGTTGCACCACTAGGTACTCTGGTTGCAGCCATAGCATTTCGGGATATCTCAATTGCCAATCTCTGCACAAAGATACACGTAACGAGGTATGTATGAATATATAATTGAATATTTCAAATCTGTATAGTACCTCTTTTAATTCATTAATTTGAGTGGCATATTGATTCTGGACTGTAAGTAATTGACTGATATACCATTGTTGATCTCTGCAACGCTGATAGAACGTTGGTGGACGTACTTGAAATCTGTTCATTTATTTCTACATTATAATTATACAGTACAGCAATGAAAAAAAAATAACGCATATTTAACATACCGTAATATAAGAGTATCCAATTCGGTATTTAAATACCCTTCAGTTGCGAGTAAATCTAATCTGAAAAATCTATTATAACCCCAGCATTCACCAATTTCGAAATCAGAAGCAAATTCTCGAACGATATTTTTACTTGTATCGCGAGATCCTTGATGAATCATTTCAACTCGATATTCATACCTGAAAAAATGATTTTTAACTAAAATGTAATTGAAACTAAGATTGTTTTTACGTACTTCGATGTTTCTGGTAAACCCGCGCTTAGTTCTAGAAAAACAGATAAATAATTTCCGCGTACAACACCGTTTCCATCAGGATACACTTTTAACCTCCAGCATAACCCATTAACATGTAATGGTGCAGAATATACTGGATCTGCTTTTAATTGCAATTGTGTAAAGTTTTGCATTGCGAACGTAGCACTGTCGTAGCCCGGAACGATTTCACTAAAATAAAAGATTATTATCAGAGATAGATATTTTCTTAATAGTAATCTCGTATCGTATGGAAGTATAAAGAATCAATATTAAACCTGTGAAAATCTGCTGGAACAGGAGCAGTAACAAAACTCGTCATCGGTTTCTTTCGTACTTGATGTATCATTCGCGAAAGGTCCGCACTTTTGATTATAAGTTCGGAACGAGTACAAGTGTGCAATTGATGTTCTACTTCTTGCAACAAAGCCTCCAGTTGTTCTGTCTCTAGTGTTAAAGAATTTTTTTGACCCATTAATGTTAACAATTTAGCTTTTAACTGAGAATCTAGACGCGCTATCATCAATTCAACTGCATTTCTAATTTCTCTGACTCTTTCATCTTTTGCAGCCCTTACAGATTCAACATTTCGTTCCTGACAAAAAAATCAAATATGAAGTAGCATTTTAATTTTATAATACTCAAAATGTTAAATGAAATTTACACGTACCACTTCTTGAACAAGACTTATCAATTCTACTAATCTTCTCTGTATTTGACCTATTTCTGCTCTTATTTGTGTAACATGTTGTTCATAAACTTCTTCTAACGGTTTAAAAGTGTGTCCTGAATGAGTGCCGCCCCAAAGAGCACATTGATGACATATACATCTACGACAAGTCCAACAATAAACAGACAACTTCTCACAGTGCACGGTGCACCTGTTTAAAAAAAACACACAGTCATTAGAAGTTACAAATAAATTATTAATAAATTATAAGCTTAAAGTTATAAATACCTGTCTCTATTAGAATCATCATGCCTGAAATTTGAAATACCAACAGCTTGAAGTGTATCCAGTTGTTGCGTTACTTCTTCAACCCATCTACAATTAACTAATTCATGTAAAAGCAAGGAAGCTCTACAATGAGGACATTGCGAGCGTTGTTCTGTCAACCATTTCCTTATACATGTATAGCAACACAATTTACTGCAGTGGGGACAAAGATGTGCATCTGTCAATTTTTCCATACAAATGAAACATCTGAAGACTTCTGCCAATGTCTAAAATATAAATTCAAATCTAAACCTAATTGCAACAATGTAATCTTTAATTTAATAAATATGCGGAGAAGCCAATCATTATAAATCACTCATTAAAAATAATTTATACTATACAAATATTCTTTTGCTGTCAAAATTTTTAGTTGGTGGAAAAGTTTAGTTGTAATATAATCATTAGAGTATTATCTCATCAACTAAAGGTTTGACAAAAATTTGACAGCAAAAGAATGTTTGTGCGACACAAGTCATTAATAAAATAATTATCATACATCTAAGATTTCCAGATATGACCTATTTTAAGTATATAAATTAAAATATGAAATCCTCGTGAATTAAAATATCATTTTATTTCTCTTGTAATATTATTAGACGTATGATAGGATAATAAAAAGCAATGTATTTACGGTGCATATTGTTGAAAACAATTATGAAAATTTGCAGCATTATGTTATAAATTTACGAACCTCGACACTGTGGTCATCCGAGTTTTTCGAATTAATTGATGTTTCTCTACTAGCCATTCTATCAGTCATTTATTAAAAAATTAATCAGGTGTTATTGATCGTTATATGTATAGCTCTGAAAGTCAGTTAGGCACATCTCTGACATTTCATCTTGGAAACCTGTATTTCGTTCAACTGTATAACCGATTTAATGAAATGTTATTCTTGCGAATTATGCTCATTATTAATCATTGTTAGTTATTAATTCGTCAAACATACACAAACTGCTTTCCAAGTACTTTAAAAAATTTGTCGAGAATAAGTCGTTATTGTTATGAATCGTGATTCGCCATGAAGTAATCTATGGCATGCAGTGCTGGAAACATTTAATCCAGTTATTCAATATTTTGTTCAATGCTTTTTTACAATTCAATTTTGTAAAATAATTGTAAAAAACAAACTGTAAGGACGCAGAGAATTACATATCTACTGTGCTCTTTTTTTGAGGATAAATCGTGGTTTCTCTGTTAAAATTTCAATAAATTTTTAAGACTTACAATAACGACAAAAATAATTTGTGAAAAACGAAGATTATTTTCGTTCTGCCTTTTTGTAATTTTTATCATTTTTGAAAGAGTAGTCAAAATATAGAGAATGTTCTACTTTAATTAAAGTATTTTAAATATTTGACTTGTTTTTTGATGATTGAAAAATATTTCACAAATTATTTGTTTCAATAGGATGATATAATAACTCAAGATTGTTCACAAGATCATTCTTTTTAGATCTTAAAATCTCTATTTTTTCCAATTGAATGATGTATATTTTGTTACATTTTATTTTATTTCCTATGAAAACGTATTAAGGTAGTCCGAAAACGTTCGATTTAAAAAATAATTTTTGCAAAATTTAAAAGACAAGGCTGAAAAATAAATGCTCTTATATTTATGTTACCCTTCTACATATCGTATGATAAGTTTCACAAAATTAAAATTAGTCTTTCATCTTCCAAATTAATTATATTTTGATACAAGTACTCTTATAATACTTTTTTTATGGAGAATGAAAAGACACATCGACTATTATATAAGAAAAAAATGTCCAAAAATCCTTCACTTATGAAGAAACGATTATTGTCACGTTATAATTCTTGTTACAACATAATATTTTGAAAATAAAATTTTTTTCATGTCTCCACAGATATATGATCATATACCTCATCTGTGATAATATGTTTGTTAAAAAAAAAGAAAACTTTTAACGCCATCTGTCTTGATTAAAATATTTTCTAAATGGAAAAGGAGATTCCACCTAGGATAACAAGTGCACATCGATATACAATTAGTGACGAATTTTAGTTTAAACATTTGTAATGTTTCACGAAATATAATTTGTATATTAATACATAAAAATTAAAAACGTATGAGAATTTAAATAATATCGTTATTACCACTTAGGAGATTTGTGCATGTAAATATCGCATATACATATATGCACTTAATTTGTATACAATTTTTTTTAGCGATGTTAGCGTTAATAAATCAATAATTATTTCATAAGTTTGTTGAAATTGAATTAAAATAAAAATGTAAGAATGACAATTTAAACAATAATCGATTTTAAGTTTATTCTAAACTTATTTCAAATGATATCATCAAAGGTTATTTCATTCTTGTTTTGTGCATGAACTTTATTTTCGCGTGTGAAAAATTAATTATAGTCTCTACTTCTTGCTTATTTAATGTAAAGTTTTTCAAATTTAATGTTTAGTGTAATTGCAGATTCTGTGTTTGTCTAACAAACATTGAGAATTATAGTTAAGTTTAAAATTTACACAATGGCTGGATTTACATTGTCAAAAGTAAAATTACAGACTGATGTATACATGGTATGCTTGCAGCATGCCTTGTCGACAGAAAAATTTGAAGTAATGGGTCTACTAATTGGGGATGTATGTTCATTAGTGTATTTGTTATTTTATGTAACTTTTTATATATCTAAAAAATACATATTGCTTCATTAATGATTCATATTAGACAATATGTAATGTTGCAAACATCGTATCAGTCATTATTTTGAGACGTTTGGACAAAAAGAAAGACAGAGTAGAAATTTCAGTTGAACAACTGTTAAAAGCTGTCAGTGAAGCAGACCGTTTGAGTGAAGAATTACAACGTCCTGTGCACGTTCTTGGATGGTATCATTCTCATCCTCATATCACAGTTTATCCATCACATCTTGGTCAGTATAGAAATTATATATTATTAAAAAAGCAAATTATAATTAAATATTATCTTAATGTAAAAGAATATTTTTATAGATATTAGAACCCAAACAAATTATCAAACAATGGATGATGGTTTTGTGGGTTTAATATTTTCAGTATTTTCAGAAAGTAAAGAATCTAAGGTAAACAATAAGTAAATGATCTTAATATTGTGTCATATTTTCATTTTTCTAAATGAAATATTTTATAGGAGCAAGAGATTTCTTTAATTTGTTTTCAATCTCACAATGACAAAGTAGTAGAAATTCCATTAGAAATTGTTCATACACCAATAATATCAAATATATGTTTAAAAGTAAGTTTTCAAATAATACAAATCTAGTTGCTTTCAATCTATAACTAAATTTAATCTTCGTACATTTTTAGACAATGACAGATTTGTTAAAACTTTTGGTACAAGAAGAAGAAGAAACAGCAGAAACATTCGAAGATTGCCAGGATATTCTTGCCAGCATACACAATAATGCTGGTTAGTTTATTTATTTCATAATGTTAAAGAGGTTTATTTATTATAAACAATAAATTAATTGAATTGTTAATTACAGTGAGAACTCGAACATTAGTTCATATAACAGATATAATTACTAAGCCTTTGGTACTGATGTTTAAGAAAAGAATAGCTTTAAATAAATTACGCGCTGCATATCTTCAAAGACAACTACAAGAATTACAAGAAGTGTATAATTGATCAAAATTTTTGTTGTGATTCTCCATTTTTTGTGTTTTAATGTATTATATAAGTATATTAATTTCAGTATTTTTTAATTCTATGACAATAAATCTTCGTTTAATATTCGCACTATTTATTGTTATGAAAGATAAAATTATGTTCTGTATACAAACTGTAGCATCATGTAAGAAATAAAACATCATTAACTTTTCCTCGTGTTTATTTTAATGATGTCTTTGTAACCTAAATGAAGGATAAACGAATGAATCTTTCAGTGATTATTTTTATTTTACCTTTCACGAACAAAGATCTGGCAATACTTGCACAGTTCTATATTTACACTACGAGAACAACAGTGTATTTAAATAGACTTAAATGTATTCAAAACACGGATTCTGCAGAACGAGAAAGATGTATAGGATGAGAAGGACTACGTGCTAACCTTTTGCGAGGCAGCTTTTCCAAAGTAGTTAACAATTTTGCAAAGTCGGGCCGATTTTCTGCATGATATGACCAGCAAAGCATTAGGATATCCTATGAAATATATAAATAAATCAGTAAAAAAGCAATTGTGGAAATTTATGAATTTTTATGAAAGCTTGAAGATAAATTTAATTAAAATTTTATAAAATAATGTTGTACCTTTACATCACGAGAAGCTTGCAAATTAGCTAAAGTTTGTTTCATTCCTTTGCCAACTTGCCAAATGATAGCTTCTGGAGGTTGACCTTTAAATGGCCATTCTCCACATAGAAGCTCATACCATACAGTCCTACAATAATTTTAAATAAGTTTGGAAAAAATGATACTTTAAAATTATATTTTGTTATCTTCTTTCACTAACCCAAATGCATAAACATCAGAAGCTTCAGTAAAGGGTAATTCTTCCTGATCCCGATTCTCTTGCGGTCTCAATCGTCGAACAATTTCAGGAGCTAAATAACATAACCAGCCAGGTGATATACTCAATACATTTCCTTTTCTGTTTATAAAAAGAAAAATCAATAAATATAAAATCATATCTCATGTCATGGATTTAAATAAAAAATTTACCTGTTTCCGTAACAAAGTTTCGTAACACTAAACAAACCAAAATCGGTAATTACAACTTTTCCATTTTCTAAAAATATGTTTTTACTTTTGAGATCTTTGTGAATTATACCACGAGCGTGAAGATATCCCATTCCCTAAATGATAAAGGACATGTTAAAACTTATTTATTAAGGTAGTGAGACTTATATGATTTATATGGCGTACCTGAGAAATCTGTTGAGCGATGATAGTAGTTTTATTCATATTAAATTTATCTTTACGTAAATGAATATGAGTGTAAAGAGTCATGCCTTTGCTCATACTAGTCACTATCGCTAAGCGCGGAGGCTTCATGCAAGCTCCCATAAATAAAACTAGATTTTCGTGTCTAGTTTTTCGGAATGTAGATACCTATAAATTCGAATGATATACATAATTTCAACAATAAACATCAATTAAAATTTCAGTAGATAGTATTAAATTATTTGTATGTAAAAAAGAATTTAATTAAAAATAATAGTTTATTATATGTATAATTATATACTATGATTAATCAATTAATTTGTATTACATATAAGCAACTATATAGATTGTCTTTCCCATAAGATATCTTGTAAGTAGATATGAAATTTTACAATTACCGAAATTATACTATTATATCAGCTAATTATAAATTACATTATATTATAATATATTGTTATATTATAGAAGCACTCGAATTATATTTTCTTTTATTATAATATTTATTTACCTCCAATTTGAACGCTTCCAATGTTTTGTCATCGTCTGAATAATAGTCCATATTTAGAACTTTAATTGCAACATTACCATGCCAGTAACCCCTATACACTGTACCAAATCTTCCAGTGCCTATACGTTCTCCAATTTTTAATTCATCGAAAGGAATGTCCCATTCTCGCATAGATAACTGTAATATCAAATTTATTTATATATAATAATATTAAAAGAGACATTGATATTACATACACTATTTTGTCGTGGCCAGCGGCTATCTCCTGGTTCTCCATCAGAAACTTGAGAATCTTGTGAATCAACTCTAACAGGTGTTCGCTCCGAATCTGTGCTGACACTACCAGATCCTGAAACGCTCACAGTTCTTTCACTATCACTTGACATAGTTGTACCTTCAAGTCGATGAGTTTCTAATGTGACACCTCCTTTTTCATTGAGCACAACATCTAAAAGTAAAGTATCATAAATTTGTTATTTATTGGAATCATTATGAAATAGTTACCTGGAAAATGGAACTGTTTGGTAGGTGCCTGTGGGGTTTGGTTAGTATTGGCAGGTAGCAAAGCTGGACTAGAAGGCGTTGAGCTGTTACAGCTTGAGGTATTTGAACTAGAATCTGCGCCCTAAAAAATATAAGCTTGTAAGTTAATATTTAGTCATTAACGTAGAAGACAAAAAGAAAATAAAAAGATTTAAAATACATAATTATATACCTGAAAAGGTATATTCATAGAAGAATGTGGATGCGATCGTTTTCGATTTAAAGAGCTTAATAAATTTGAATTATGGTGACTGGGAGATGTTATACCAGGCTTACTTAATATTGGAGAAACACTCACCATACCTAAAAATTTAAATTTTTTAAAAATTCTCAAAAAAAAAGAAAAAAAAAAAAGAAATAAAAATCGACGAAATTAGATTTGAAAAGATATTATATACATACCGTCACCTTGTACAGTTCTTTTAAACTCATCAAAGAGTTCCTGAGGTAGGCCACAAGAAGGTGGTACTTTGGATTCGCAATCTCGATGACACTTGTATTTACATTCTTTGCATTTCAAACCAGTGCCTATAAACATCTGCTTATCGCAATAGTCGCAGGTTGTCATCATTTTAAAAGTTTTGGTAAAGCGGTGAGCAATTATATGGCCCATTCCCCGGGTTACGGTCGGAGTACGAGGTGACTTTGGCACTTGAAGACTTGTTACTATGACAATACAAATAATAACAATTTCTTATATTTTTATTTAAAAATATAAAATTTCTAAAATGGATGGTCAGATTTACCTGTTCCCTTAAAACTGTTGTCATCGCTTTCTGCACTAGAATAAGGTGGAGATTTAACAGGACTATTACTATTCAGCAAGAGACTTTCCCCTGTAATGTCTGCATTACTACTGCAAGATCCTGATTCTGTAGGCAAACGATTTCTTCTCCCAACAGAACCAACAAGATCATTTCCACAACTAAAAAAATAATACAAACACATTTAATATTAACTTTTCTTAAAACAGACAAAAAAGAAAACAACAATTAAAAATTAAATTATTACCTTAAAGCTGTATCACCATTTTCAAGACGGTTTGCTAATTGTGATTCATGAGACTTTGACTTAGTTAAAGGAAACACTTCTGGTTGTGATATTGTATTTTGTAAACCTATTTGATGTTTTTTATAAGGAGGAGGAGTCGTTGGAAATTTAATTCCTATTTCAAAAAAAAAAAACAAAATTTTATGTAATTGTATAAATAAATAATAAAAATACAACACTTACCACGTCCTGCCCTTTGTAAAAGAGGAGTGGAAGGAGGACTAGTTGAAGATAAGGATGTAACGGAAGAAGCTTGTGCTAATACATCACTGTTAAGATTATTGTTATTATTATGATATGGAATGCTGTCTTCTGAAGGAACAGAGCATCTTGTTGTACGTGATCTTGCTGGTCTGGGAGATGTTCCAGTACGTAAATGATGTCTATCCCAAGAATCCCAATATAAATTCATATCACTATTATCCATATCACCTTTTAGTAGAACATCTAAATAAAATATTATGTAAAACATATATAATGTGTACTTTTTATAATAATGGTGTGAAATATTGCAAAATCAAAAAATCATTACCCATATATCGACGAAGATTGTGCAATGCCCTGCATAATCTACGTAATTCTTCCTCGTGTTTTACATTATTTTCCCCCAACATACTACCTAACTCATGTTCAGATTTTTCTTTAAGAGCTTCAAGTGAAGTGGCTTTAGAACAAATCATCTAAAATTTATTAATAAAAATCGAAAATTTTAGTAATTACTTAAATGAGAGTAAAAATCTTGTGTTTAAACATTTATTTATACCTGAATAGATTCTTGAGTAAGACCCACTACTCTTAACCACTGTTGCAAAGATGGATATTGTTTCATTTCTGGAGGCAATGATTCTTCTAAAGCCAATTTGGCTTTGGTTACAAGTTGCTTTGAATATAATTTGATAAGTTTTCCCTAAAACACATATCATTTATATAAATAATGTAGGATTTATATCTCTTTTAACATTATTTGAAGTAATTATAGCTCAACTTTTGTTCAATTTTGTAGCTATCAAAAATGTGCTTTAGTCATTGATTTTTAAATTACACGCTACTTAGAAATCCTTTTCATTGAAGGGAGATTGAAAGGCTTATTCAAAAATCAAAAAAATCTTTTCAATAACATGAAGAACATTCTATGTCAAAAGATACAAAGTATAATTACTTAATTTTTATTGAAATCATTACGAGTAAAGAATACACAGTAAAAAAAGGATATCAGACAAGTTTGTTTCTAGGAGAAAAAGAAAAAAGATTCGTGACGATAAATTGTCAGCGTGTAAATGCAAATGCCAAGCTAATAAAGAAATGTATTTGCAACTTGTTGACAACCAGAAACGAACCATTCACGAGGTCAAGGCGATCGTGTTGAACGCAATTAAAGGAAAAATTAGGGAAGGATCGAGGGGATCGCGTGCTCTTCGAAATACCTCGAGAGTTCGGATTTCCTGTTGAGTCAGTTCCGCGCTGATGGAACATTGGGTCCTCAAGCCTTCGAGTCGTTCAGCGGAGATGTCAATCATGGATTGAACGACATCCAAGGCTCGACGGATTTCTTGTTCCGCATCTTCGCCGTCCGCCATCCCGTGGCACGGTGACGGCCCCGGGTGTCTCGTTGAACGCGAGGCCGGTTTCCTATTTCACAGGCATAATTTCGTCTTGCGCGGAGCTCCTATCGGTCACAGCTTTATTACTGTCTCTCCGTGTAACCAAACCACTTATCAACATTGACAACCATCTTGGCCGCCTATCGGTGACGTCAATCGGTGCCCAACAATCCGGGATCTCAGTGCGTTCATTCGAGCGATATCCGAGCGTTCCTGAAGTTGCATTTCTCGATCGTTTCTCCACAGTGTTGTGAAATATGTATACGGGGGATTATTTATAGATTTTAGATAACAAAAAAAAGTCACCTTTCAAGTTACAAGCAATTTTATTTTACGTTAGAAACATGCCGCTATCGATGAATTGACTGACAAACTTTCTGACCTTTTATCTCGATCATACTTCATGCTTCTCACTCTGACCCAATGACAAACACGAAAAATCAAAACGAATTTATGTTACAGGTAATTAGCATGATTGTAAAAAACAGTGAGAACTTGTTTCAAATGTCAAACTATGTAATTCGATAGGTTTTTAAGTTGAATTGAGAACTTCAGGTTAATTAACAATCATTATTGAGTAGAAGATGAACCGGTGCGTATCTGTCTTGATACGATCTATGGATTGAACCTGCTTGATCATTTTGGCGCAAATTTTAAATATTTTGTAACGCTGATCTTTCAATTTATATATTTGTAATTACACGTAATTATATATCATGAGACGTCTCTTAAGTTAAGTAAAAATTTAAAAATATTGTTTCGTCTCATCAAGTATCTTATTAAATCGGCTAGTTAATGTTATTTAAACAAGTTTAAACTTTGAAACAATAAAATAATGAAATAAATGGTACAATGAATTCACATGTAATATACATGTACGATAAATAACTTTTATCTCAATGAATAAAACATACATTAAATTGTTTAAAGTTGCGAGTAGGAATTAAGGCTGTTTTAAATGAAGTGCATTTGGCCTCAAGTGCATTGGTTTGGGAACGTTAGAAAGCTGATAGCACCGTATATAAGCACCACTTGCAACATTTCTTTCGTTGATTTTGGTGCATTCAATATGATATTCGAAGTTTCTTATCTAGCTGCCTTGCCCGGTCGATGAATGATCAAAATTTGTTCGTTGCCTCTTCGTTTTGGTGTCATGTATTTGCTAGGCGATATTTTGTGTTGTTTATCCTAGTCGTGAGATTTATAATTGTTGGTGTTGTATGTTAGCGTTAACAAGACTTTAGAGAAATGGTGAAAATAGACACGATACAAAAAAATTATCCGCTGCATTGGCTCGTGTGGAATAATAATTATGTAGAACTCGAGGAGGAATTATCTACAAAGCTGGTTGGTAAAGCAATAAAGAGATAAAAAGATAAAAAGGGAACTGTTATTTAGTCATTAATCATGTTCAGTCGTAAGCAGCACCTGTGATTAAACAGATGGTGACAATAGAGACACGCGATGCAACTATATTCATCAATTGTTTCTTTTTTCCCTTTCTACGAAACGAATATATATGACAGATGACAGTTTATATTTCGTGTTAAACACTTGCTTCGTAATTACTATGAAGCAAAAAATATGTATACATATGATAGAAATGTCTTTATTGATATTAAGAAACTGTCATAAAGAAATTGCATGTATACCATTTAGTTACAAGATTATATATCTTTCTTGTCAGTTATATTTTATTGTGTCAGATGAATGATTGATATTATTGTAATTGATTATGTATTATGATATTGGTCTAAGATCATTTGATACATTATCAGAGAGGTTGATGGAAGAAGCCATGCATGAGTTAGAAACCCTAAATGTTCCTTAATTTCTAACTTCTGATATTATGTATCCAATATATCACGATGGATTTGATGAGGCTTAATGGAAAGAGTATTGTGCTAGTTATTAATGTTGACAGCACTTAATATCATTTGTAATAAAAAAAGTCATTTAATATTTATTTATATATATTTTTATTAAGATTCAGATGTACATGTTTAAAATAATTTAAAAATATAATACGATATTTTTTTATAGCATGATATTGAAAAGCTTGATAACCGAGGAAGAACCCCATTGATGTTAGCTGTGACTTTAGGTCATATTGAATCTGTTGGAGTATTGTTGCAACATGAAGCTAATGTTAATACAGAGAATACTCAAGGATGGACTGGTAATAACTATGGGATTGTATCTATTAAATTGTCAAATTCATTGGTTCACTATTAAAATTTTAATTTTACATTGCAGTGGTTCAAGAGGCAGTTGGCACAGGAAATCCTGAGCTAATACAAATGGTGCTAGCACATAGGGATTATCAAAGATATTGTAATCGAGTAGCAGGTATTCCAGAACTGCTTCATAAACTTAAACAAGTGAGTTTAGTTAAGTCATATATCTACTAATTGTGCATAATACTTGAAAAAGTTTATAAGTATTTGAAAATTTTATCCAGTGTTTGTAGTAAAAATTTATTAATTATCTTTGCCAGACAAATGCTTATGATCAAGGATGCTTTCTCTTATGTGGTGGAAATTTTGATTTGTATAATCTGAGATTGAATGATATTTTCAGGCTCCTGATTTTTATGTAGAAATGAAATGGGAATTTACTAGTTGGGGTAATTATAAATTTATTAATTAATAAATTATAAATTTTCTTATTTTTTTCAATTAAAAATTAACGATTCTTTTTTTATTATTAGTTCCTCTTGCCTCTAGAATATGTCCTAGTGATACTTACAAGGTATACAAACAGGGCAGCAATGTACGAATCGACACAACTTTATTAGGATTTGATCATACAAAATGGCAACGTGGAAATCGTAGTTACGTTTTCAAGGGACAAAGTGAGTATTTAAATGTGGTTCTTTGCATGAATACATTAATATTTCTTAAGTTTATTTCAATTATCAGGTTTTTTTGGGTTTTTTTCATTTATACTAATAGTAGAGTCTTTTATTTGTTTTTTAATTGTGTATATTAAATGCAAGCTGCATCACATGTACCTGTGGCAATTAGATGTGAACGGAGTTATGTGTTCAGTATGGTGGGACGAGAGTCAGGTGACAGAATTATTTTTAAAATTAATGTGGTGTGCAGAATGGTAGAGTATATTACTAACACTGTGAAGTAGAGAAAATTTTTCTTATCTGTATATTTCTTTTCTTATCTGTATATTATCTATATATTTTTATTTATCATCACTTTCTTGGAATTTTATTACTCTTAAAAAGCTAATATAATAAATTGAAATAGATGGTAAGTGTAATCTAAATATTCTAAAAATTATTACTAATGTATTATATATTTTTTCAAGTAGTTAATTATATTTAAATTAAAAAAAATATTTAAAATAAATTAGTGTTAATGTAATTAGTAGTACGAAATTATAAATTTAAGTAGAACAATGCGAAATTTTATTTAATAAATATATTTTAATATGTTTTTTAATAATAACAAAATTTATTTATACAGATGATGGAGCAACAATGATGGAGGTGGATCACAAAACAAGAAAAGTATATGTTGAGCATATTAAACTCGTAGATATTGACGATATGCAATTAATGGAACCTTCTGAAGAAGGCGTATTAGCTCGGCTTACAAATCCGATTGTTACTACGTACATAGATACAGATAAAATTAGTTTCGAACGGTAATTGTTCTCTTTTACTATTGCTACTTTATTAGTATTATTACACACGTTTTTATTAACAATTATTTTTGTTTATCTAGTAATAAAGCTGGTTTGTGGGGCTGGCGCTCTGATAAAAGTGAAATAGTTAACGGACATGAGTGTAAAGTGTTTAGTGCATGCAATGTAGAATTAATAACGAAAACTCGATTAGAACATTTATCTGAACCTGATAAGGCACGAGCTCGTGCTCCACGTACACCTCTTCAATCATTTCTTGGTATGGCGGAACAACAGCAGGAGAACAGTAATAACGCAACTACTAGTGTAATTTTCTTTTTTTGAACATTTTTACTTATATTATGTGATCACATTGAAACTAATTTATTATTCGTTTTAGGAAGAATATAATAATGTCGGAAATCCTTCTAATATAACAGCTGAGGAATATTTTGACCCGGATGTTGATTTGAATGGAAGGGATATAGGTAGACCAAAAGAAGTTAATACGAAAATTCAAAAGTTTAAGGTATTGTAATAAAACATTATGAATATTAAGGTAATATCTCTATGAAATGAATATAATTAAGTCTAAAATTGCAGGCAACTTTATGGCTTAGTGAACAGTACCCATTAAGTCTTCAAGAACAAATTATGCCAATTGTCGATCTTATGGCAATATCTAGTTCACATTTTGCAAAATTAAAGGATTTTATTCAAATGCAATTACCTGCTGGATTTCCTGTTAAAATTGGTAAACTTTGTATTATATTCTTTTTTGAATGAATTAGTATTCTTTGATAAATGATGGAATTAATTCCCTTCTTTTTGTAGAAATTCCTCTGTTTCATATATTAAATGCAAGGATAACGTTTGGAAACATTTTTGGCATGGATCAAGAAGTACCGCATGTAGGACATTTACAAGAAACTAACAGAATGACTTGTCTAGTTGATGATATTTGTTTTGAAGCACCAGTGGGATACGTAAAACTAGGTAAATTTAATATATATAAATGAATGATATATAAATAGATAATTACATGAATTATACATATATATACATTAAATATTATTAGAAAAATATGTATTATATAATTGTCTGTTTATATATAATTCAGCAGGTGCTGAAGTTCGGACACAATTTAGTATGGAAGAAGAAGACGATCTGTTACAATTTGCTATTCAACAAAGTTTGTTGGAAGTTGGAAGTGAACGTGATGAGGTACAGATATCTAAAGTTTCTTATATCTCTTCAAAAAGATTTATATATAAAAATAAATTCTAATAGCGTAATTCAATTTATTAAGATTGATATATGGGAGGCCTTACGAGCGCAAAAACCATCACGACCCACGACGCCCAATATGACAACTGAGGAAGAGAGGCAGTTGCAGAGGTATGAAAATATATTGTTTATAGGAACGCATGTGGCATTTCAAATATTTTGTTTTTATTTTAAAAGTTCTAAATATTTTATTTTGCATGTGTTCTTATGCAACAATTCAAATTCAGAAAGGTGGGTGATGGATTGTAATCAGTATTAGATGCATAATAAATATTTAAATTAACATTGTAAATGTTCTTACAGAAAATTCAAGGAATTGCAGTTAAAAAATATATATATAATTAATTTTGACACTTAATTTTTTGTATATGTTAATAATATTATTACGAATTTTTTGTGGTATAGCAATATGATTAATATTAGACATATAATTATATAATATTAAGAAATTTGTTTGATAACTAATTATAAATTTTTACCTTCATCTTTAATGCAGAGCTATTCAGGCAAGCCTGGCGCTGTGTCAAGATAGTAACGTTGGCTGTGCGAGCGGTCGAAGTAATTCGGATAAGACAAATGACATAGAAAATGCTGACTCGCTTGAAGATACAGCAGAACAATTAAGACTGGCGCTAAGACTGTCAGAATTACAACAGTTGGAAGAAGAACAGCGTCGATTGTTAGAGGAAGAAACATTTCGACAAGTGTTGGAGTTATCTCTTACAGACAAGTGAACGTGCAATAGTCATTAAGAAATTTGATCAAATTATACTTCCATGATTATGTGAAATCTTCCAGCTGCGCAAGCATCATGTAGCGCGAAATCATTTCCTACAGTTCACAAAAACATTAAATAAGTAAACCTGTTGTTTACAACAGATACTTGTTATATTATAATATATAGTTACAGTATGTATAAGTATATATATGTGTGTATATATACTATATCTATATATATATAGATATATGTAAATATATATATATATATATATAGTTACGAAATACAAGTCAAACGATGGAAATAATATAACATTAACTATGAAAGTAAACGATTTAAATTATGTTATTTATTTCTTAGCTACATTTTATATAAATGAAAAGATTGAGTAGTATGGAGGAACATGGTATATATATAATACTCAGAAGTCTTGAAAATTACAATTGCTCTGATAGAAAAATCAGAATATCCAATTCACGTTCAAGTCGAATAATATTAAATAAATAAGGGTAACATCTCGTTGAAAGTGCTGTAAGTTATGACTGTCAATATTTCGAATAAAAAGCTTGTAATTCTCAAGCCTTCGACGATTATTCGTTTTGTCCTTTCTCCTAGTAATTAGATTCGAATCTTCAAAAATTTTTAGCATAAAAATTTAGGGATACATATATCGGATTAATATTTTAATTACTATCCTATATAATAACCTATCTAAAAAAATTGCCTCTCGTAACATTCGGGCAATTGAAACTATTCCAAGTTCCTTTTTATACCCGTGATAATATAATTGTAAGTAGCGTTTCAATTAGTTGAGAATAGCAACGGTATAACGAAAGTGTATTATTTATTTCTTTCTTATAGTTTATTCATTGCAAATGAATAATTTCGTTGAAATGTTTAGTACAAATTAAGCGTATGAAATAAAAAACAGAAAAAATTATTAATTATCTTGTTATCAGTATACCAACAATTTATCGAGAAACAAACGTAACTGTATTACATATCATTGTTCTGTAAAAATTTTTATTCCAAAGATAAATTATTGTTTGTTACAATATTTCTTTTATAAATGAATTTATTAATTATAACAAAATATAATTGCAATACATTAATTATATTGTAATAAAAAGGTATATTTCTACAAGTGGTATATAATAGACATAATTACGTGTATAAAATAAAATGTGTGTAGAAAAATACGAAAAAAAATATTTATATTACAATGAAGAGCAGAAATTATATTTATTACCAATCAGTGACAATGATCAATCTGCCAGGTAATGGATTATTCAAATTCTGATTGTGCCCTGAAATAGAAATAATGTTTTTATAATAAAATTACATTTCGCATTATCTATAAAGTATAATCTGAGCAATATCTTTATATAATTCTATTTGTTTCTTCACATAATTTCATCTTAAATATATACCTCTTAAATATAGTGTTTAATATACTTGCACTTTCCGTAAAACGTTGTTCATTCTTGTGTGCTTGTTGGTGCCATTTTTTGCGCACAGCATTCCAATGTGCTCTGTGTTCTCTTAACAACATTTCTCGTGATTTTAGGGTTTGTCCGTCCTACAATGTATTATGTATTATGTATAAAATGTATTTATTACGTGATTATGATATTGTATTAGATTGATAAATTAAGATCTATCAAGATAGATATCTCACATAATCCAAGTTCAATTCTTCTTTTTCTCTAGGTATTGGTGAAGGTATACGGTTTCTAGGTATAGCTTCTTCACAAGGTAATGGAGGTGGCAAATAATAAACATCACGAACTTCTCCATTACTGTCCAATATATTGTTACTTATATTAACTTCATTTACTATTTCTGGACTTGGACTGCGTATTCTGAATATAAAAACAATATACAAATCATCTTTTCTTAATACTTTTTAAAATCTAAAATAATGCGTAATAAGATAATTAAGTGGTTCCTCCCACAATGTTTTATAAATAATGTTAGTTATAATTACATTAAAGTTAGTATCTACATGTATGAAACTGTATTAGAAATAATCAAATATTATAAGACTGTTATACATAGAAATCAAAATGGACAAATAATATTTCAATATTTACAGTTTTGCAACTGTCTTCTATTTACTTACTTTGGTACAAGATTAGGATTTCTTGGTTGATTTGCCATCCAAGCTCTACATATGGGATAAAGTGGTGTATCTTCTTGAAATTGTGCTAAATCAACACTTCTGTCAAATAGCTTCATAACATAAGTATGATGAAATGCAGTATCCATTTGTATTTGTCTACGACGTCTTACTTTACGTGGTTGTTGAAAACCCATTGATTTTGTTCTATACATGTTATCTCTGTAAAAAAAGATAAAAAAAAATACATTATTTTATTATAAGGAGAAGCATTTTAAGAGAAATTACATTTTCTTCATTGAATGTCTATAATCTTGTGCAGAACTTTCTTCACTTGAATCTGCTGAGGATCCTGTATCACTATGTTGTAATAACTCTCTAAGAGCACCTTTTAAACGATCTCTTGCAACAAGTACATCACTGTCTCCTAAAACAATATATTTTAATACCAATTACTTCATATAGATTGATTTAATAATTAAATATAAACGATATTTTCTATTACCTAATTCATCTTTTATTTCCACCTTTACACGACTAGGCATTGTTACAGGTGGTGGTTGAATATTTCTTTTTTTCCCCATCTAAATTACAAAAATGTATTATGTCATATAAATATTTACAATAGTTCTTTCAATTACTATAATAAGAATTTATTACAAGCATACCTTCCAACTAAGTTTAATTCATTTGCACGATGAATTAAATAGATTACGATTCTTTCTAGCAGACAAAAATTGTATATAAATACTATTGTAAAAGTAAGATATTCATATATTTGTTAATGATAATATCACGCATACACATAAAGTATGAGGTTAGGATACGAAACACAATTTAATTTTACGATAAATGAGTACAAACTAATTTCGAATTATATTTTCGTTTAATTTTTAATTTTTTTAAAATAAAAATTATGTTACGTTAGTTAAATAAAAAACAATTATTATGACACAAATTAAATAGTCTTTAGTAATATAATGAGTTATGGGCGTGGGTTACTTCTTCTTCTTCTTCTTCTTCGGGACAATATAGTTTGTTATTGGATTATGTTCAATTTTTAATATTTTTATCGGTAGGTCTTAACTTTTTTATGTTTTTACAATCTGATCTTGTTAATTTAATTGACTGTATTTAAAGGTTTATTAAATTACATTTGAACCAATATTAAATGCCAAATGTTGTATGATTTTACTGCTGTATGATTAGAAGCTCATTAAGGAATGTGTGTATGTACATATTAAGAAATTGTGCAGAAGTTAAATTGTTTTGAATACTTTTATACAAATAATATCTCAATAATGTTTTAAAGCTTCATGTAATTTCAATATGTATTAAGTTTTTAATGTTTCAGATTGTCAAAAACTAACAAAAAAATGCGGCTGTTAGATATTGAAGTATTTTTAATTATTAATATAATAAGTGCAACATTCATCCTTGCTTATAATTGTCTTCTAAATAATAAAGATTATAAATGTAGACTAGGAACTAAAACACCATATAGATTTATATCAAACAATAATGATTCTCCTCTTGAATACTCAGGTAATATCTAATTTAATAACTAACAATGAAATATCCTTTATTTTTCTATTCAGTATAAATACAAAAATTTCTTTTATCATAGGTTGTGTTCCAAGAAAGATATGGTTAATTTTAAGACATGGTACAAGATATCCTGGTAAGAAGTATATAACGCCCATGATTGAAACACTGCCGAAGTTACAAAAAATTATCCTAGATAACTATAAAAAAAGCAAAACAGAATGTACAGAAGAAGATATAGATTTATTCAAAGAGTGGAAAATCACTTTTACTGAAGACGATGTTATGAAATTAGCAGAAGAAGGAGAAGATGAAATGATTGATATTGGAGAGAGATATCAATCTAGATTTCCTACTCTTATGCCAGAAATCTATGATAATCAAACTTACAAAGTAAAGGGATATCATTTCTCACTTTTGACCTTTGAATTTCCCTATTATAATCGTTAAATAGAAATATTTATTTTTAGTTTAAACATACTGCCACTCAACGCACAGAGGAAAGTGCTAAGAACTTTGCCACTGGCTTATTTGGAAGACACAGCAGTTATCGAGTTCAGTATCCAAAGGCAGAACACAAAGATCCTGTGTTAAGAGTAATTTACAACCATATAACTCAATAATTGTGCAATTTTTCATTATTTAATCATTTCATTTTAAGTTTTTAGTTTTATAAACGTTGTGAACGTTGGCGTTCCGAAGTGGACAAAAATCCGGATTCGCAAATAGAAAAAGACAAGTTCTTGAGAAGCAATGTCTATAAGAAGATGTTGCAAGACGTTTCCAAGCGTATTGGTTATCAGATTGATCACGGTATGCAGTATGTACGACAACTAATTTTGAAACACTAAGAAGATATATGTATGTATCGTAGAAATATTTACGTTTCAGAAAATGCACATTTGATGTACGTGGCGTGTGGATTTGAAACCGCATGGCATAAAAATTATGAATCGCCATGGTGTAGAATATTTTCATTAGACGATTTCAAAGTAAATTTTAAAATTTAATTATTTGTTATGTAATTGTTTGTTAAATTTATTGATATTGTTTTTAGGTACTGGAGTTTGCAAGTGATTTAGAATATTATTGGAACGATGGATATGGCTACAAATTAACTTACGAACAAGCGTGTCCAGCTTTGAGAGATGTCTTTGATTTTTTCGCGTGGGAGTATATTGTTTCCTTTAAAATTTACTTAGACCGAATATTATGTTGCTAAAAATTTTATTTTTAATTTGTAGGACAGACGAAGGACCAGTGGTATCGGCATATTTTACTCATTCGGGGACTATTTTAAAATTGTTAGCTCTCTTAGGAATCGCTAAGGAGGACCAACATTTAACACATGATTTATTTTCGTTGTATGGGGAGAACAGAGCCTGGAGAACTGGGATTATCGATACTTTCGCATCTAATATTGCCTTCGTTTTATACAAGTAAAATATTCATATATTTTACATATAGTCTAACTATAATATGATGTAATATAATAATGCTTCTTTTTATTTTAGTTGTTCTGGAATTTCCAGTGTTCTTTTTATGCATCAGGAAAGACCATTACATCTTCCAGGTTGTCCCATGAACATGCCATGTGCGTTGTCTACAATGAAAGCACTTTATCCTGATCAAGAAGAAGAGTGTCAGTTTGAAACAATGTGTTCGTTAGAGGAATCATCATAAAACTGATGCAGAACCATAATATATATTATGAATTGTATTATATATATATTTTTATTAAATATTTATTATACATATATCATACTCATGCGAGAGTATGAGAACCAAGTGAATAAGAACGTTTCATTTCTATATTTTCCTAGAAATTAATTTATTACATTTGTAGTGACATTTGAATTGCACTTTGTTATTAATTATTGTTTTGTCCTTGCAAAAATTGTCAATTGCTTTTAAAATTAGATTTATAACAATAAATAGAGATGTAATTATTACAAGCATTGTTACTTAAAAATTGTAGTTAAAAATAAAAAATAAAGAAGAATTGAATGTGTATTTATGATATCATATAATCTAATAGCATATATCTAATTATTCTGATTCCTTTCAGTCAATACACGTCTACCTTATAAAATTCAAATAGATCGGGAGGTTCGCGCCAGTATTTCAATTTATTGGACAAAATTTGGAAATCTTTATTCATATATTTTACAGATCAAATAAGATATAGAAAGAAAGCTTGAGGTCTAATTAGAAAGATACAATTGCAAAAGTTCACAGATTAATACTCTTAATTAACTTTTTTTGCAAATAAAAATTTAGTCAATTTATGGAGACTGAAATGCTAGCGTCGCGTAGCGGTGAAACGGTGTAACTAAAATTTATTGCTATCCTTGTCGCACATTAGCGTGCTCCTTGTCTGTCAATCAACATCAGTCTGTCTTTGTCACACTGTAGCGACCTATAGTTCCTTGAGTACGAGTTTCGAACACCAACTTGTACAAGCCGCAAGTGGCTGTGCGCCTAGCGTCGAAGTCAACCGATATTCGATGGTTAAGCAAACAGAGTGCGGAACCGCTAGGATGGGTGACCATCCAGTCTAGCGAATAGTTACAACAACAAGCGTCTGGGGTAAGGAGTCGCTGCCATCAGCCCCACTGATGAGTCTAGGCAGCGACTCTGAGACGAAACGCACAACCTTTCCTCACCTTACCCACCTCATCACTTCCTACATTATCCTCGCATTATCATCGCCGTTTCAATCCCTTCAGCTGGTGACTGCCCGACGTGATAGGAACACGCAAGCAACTCAACGGAGCAACAAAAAGGAGAAGGGAACGACACACTACTAGCGAGGCAACAACATCAGGAAGGACACAAGACGCCCAACGAGGAAGGAAGGATGATGCCACAACAACGATAATTGGCCAAGGCATTATGAGTCGGTCGCTGTGGAGATTCGCTAATACACATGCAGCACCTCCACCGGATGCAGACGGTCGTAGAGAAAAGATGCCAAATAGGTCCGCGCAAACAGCGCCTCCGCCGAATGCAGACGGTCGCAGAGGAAAAACGTGCGCGTATGCAGGCATCACGTCTCGGGGTCCACGACAAAAACTAAGAAAGCCTCGCATACGACACGTAGCCACAAAAGCGTCTCCACCGACCGCAGCCACATAATCCTCCAAAATATAAAGATGGCCGGCCCAGGGTATCTGAACACAGAAAGAGAGACTAGGACCGTGCCGCAAAACGGAGAGCAGCCAAAAATGATCATCATCCGGCATATCAACGCCTACATAGGTCGCTACCTCCTCCTCGATATCGTTACCACTAGGAAGGGGGTGATGTAGCGACCTATAGTTCCTCGAGTACGAGTTTCGAACACCAACTTGTACAAGCCGCAAGTGGCTGTGCGCCTAGCGTCGAAGTCAACCGATATTCGATGTTAAGCAAACAGAGTGCGGAAC